ATGACGGGAGGCTGCGAACCTAGCAGAGCAAGGAACTTGTAGCCTAGCGCTAGTATAGGTGACTGGGTGACGGCTGAGGCTGGAGGCAGAAAACTGGCTAGGAGCAGGGACTGCACACCTAGAGGAATAGATTACTCAGAGCCTAGCGGGACAGGAGACCCAGGGCCTAGAACTAGGGCAGGAGGTTTGGCATGTAGCACTGAGGGATTTGACTGCTTGCCAACTGAGGCTGGGGGCTGCGGACCAACTGAGGGCAGAGGCTTCAGACCTAGTGGGGCAGAGAACCTATAGCCTGGCAGAGCAGTGGACTGAGAGACGACTAGAGCTGGAGACAGCGAAACTAGAACGGCTGAAGGCTGGGAGCCTAGTGCTGAGTACTTTGGACCTGACAGGGAAAGTAAACTTAGATGCTACTACTGCAGGGGACTGTGGACTTAGAACGGCAAAGGACTGGGGCCCTAGTAATAAGGCAGCAGTCCACTGACCTAAGCCAGAACAGTGTTAGCCTGCAACTAGGGCCATAGACTGAAGGTCGGGTACAGACAGAAACTGAGAGCCTACTGGGAGGGGTATGTCTGACCAACCGAAGGGGCAGGATACTCCTGACCTACCAAGGAGGCTGGATAGACTGGACCTACTGGGAAGGCAGGGAACTCTAGACTTACTGGGAAGGCAGGCAAGTCTAGAATTACTGGGAAGGCAGGAAACACAAAACCCTAGAGGCAGGGAACTCTAAATCTTGCAGGGAAGCCCAGAACTCTGAATCTACCATGGTGGCAGGGAACTCTGATGACTCTGCTGGGAAGGAAGGGAACTCCGATGACCCTGCCGGGGAAGGAAGGGAACTCCGATGACCCTGCCGGGGAAGGAAGGGAACTCTGATGACCCTGCCGGGGAAGGAATGGAACTCTGACCCTACTGTGGAGGCAGGGAACTGGACATCTAGGTCAGGAGGGACATCGGGGTGACTTCTGGTGGGTCACCCATGGAAAGGACTGGATGGTCCCCTGAGGCGAGTTCTGGAATGTCTGGAAGTTGCAGGTCCCTCGAGGCTGGCGCTAGCAGGGGGCCAGCAGGGACCACAGGCCAATGACCGGCAGGTTCCACCAGGTAAGGGCTGACGTGGCCAGGCCAGCAGGAGCGGGCTGAGTCCTTGTGGCCGCAAGCTGAACTTGAAACACCGGAAGGAGCTGATCCCACCTGGCCATGACTGGAGAGGCCCCATTGTCCGGGCTGTCCTTAACCTCTGCAGTAGCTGCAGGCTGTGGCTATATCCTAGGCTTGAGACAATATGACTCTAGAACAGTATTACACTATTTTTAAAGGAAATGCTCAACAGTGATTTTTGATCTTTCGCTCTACCATTCTCTCTCTCTCTGCCATCCTCACAGTTCACTCACTCAGATGGTATGTAGGCTGGTTGATGGCACCTACAGGCCTGTTTGAAGGGACAACTGGACAGAACATATCAGAATGCTTGGACCTCAGCTGAGACCCTTCTCTCCTTCTCAGACTTTCAAGGAAAGCACCTTCTTTATACTTCCTGTTTGGCATGATGCTCTCAAGGTGTGTCTCTTTCCATGTTGTGTGGTATTACCTATAGATTACTCTTAGACACTTTCACATAGTTTGCCTCTGAATTGGTATCCACTTCAGGCTATGTACTTGTTACCTGTGTGTTAGAATACTGTATCCCTTTCACATAATTTGAATGATCCCTCCACTGCCACATGCTCTCACTCTTTCTCTCCAGGATACATTAGGGGAAGTTGCATTGCTGTTGTCACCAATCTCATGCTGCAAGAGAACATCAACGACTTTATCCCCCGATCCTAAACTTTTCTAACTCTTGTTCAACTGCTCTTTGATTAAATCGGTTGAATTAAATGTTTACATTAGCTTCAAGATGACACTGAGTTAGATGTTTCAAAAGGGTAACTTGAAGCTTTGCCCATTTTCCAGTTGGGTTTTTGGCTCCAAGGAAAACAAATTACACACACCAATCCCTGTCCTAATTTCAACAATGTGTACCAATGTGGTATATCTGGGTTTTTTTTTTAGTAAATCTCGCTCGTGTGCCCCTTGTCCGTAAACTCGTCATACTTTTATATCTATTTTCAACTTCAGTACAAAACATTTCTGGCTGCTCCCATGGGATATAGTAATTACAAACGTGTACAACGCTGAAAGTAGGACTTAGGTTTAAAAGCTCTCGTATGGTGTCTGCCTGATGCCTCTGAACCTGCAGGTAGATACAGAGAAAATATTGTCTCAACACTCACCAGCCAATCGGTGTTGGCACCTCGGTAGCATTGGAAATGATACCCTTCAAGTACTGAGCAAATGTCCAAATGAATTAAATTCCCTTAATTTGCACTGTGAATGTTGCTTTGATGGATACTAAATATGACTAGTTGTGATCAACAGTACGAATGTAAGTGTGGAAATGTAATGACTTACAGCAGCAGTATGTTTTATGATCCAGCAGATGGCAGTAATCTACCGTCAATAACTGAGTAGCCCAAATGAGCAGCCCAAAGGAGAAGGGGCAGAGAGCAGGGTGCACAAGGTTTAGGCTTGAGATCCAAAGGCCTTGAATTCACACAAAATGTGCATATAATCCAAATCAAGCAGATTGAGTGCCATTACTTGGTATTGAAGTAATTAAATCCACATTTCTGAAATGTTTTACTTGCTGTGCTCTGCTCACTATACTCTCAACCTAAAGTGCAACACATCCTCCTGTTTGGTAAAAAGAAATATGAACACATAGCAGTTTACAAGCTACATGTAAAATATAACACCAGAATTGGATGACCTTCCCTTAAATATAAATAAACACACAAAAAAACACTAGATCTGGAGAAAAAGTGACTGCTAAATAGGAGAGAAAAGTCTCTCTCTAAACCTGCATTGGAAACACTTATGAAATACACTGAGTGTACAAAACATTAGGAACACCTCTTTCCATGACAGACTGACCAGATGAAACCTATAATCCCTTATTGATATCACTTGTTAAATCCAATTCAATCAGTTTAGATGAAGGGGAGGAGACTGGTTAAAGAAGGATTTTAAAGCCATGAGACATGTATTATGTACAGTGAGGGAAAAAAGTATTTGATCCCCTGCTGATTTTGTACGTTTGCCCACTGACAAAGAAATGATCAGTCTATAATTTTAATGGTAGGTTTATTTGAACAGTGAGAGACAGAATAACAACAAACAAACCCAGAAAAAAGCATGTCAAGTGCTTTCCTTGAAAGACAGGGAAGGAGAGGAGGGTCTCAGCCGAGGTCCAAGCATTCTGATATGTTCTGTCCAGCTGTCCCTCAAACAGGCCTGTAGGTGCCATCAACCAGCCTACATACCATCTGAGTGAGTAAACTGTGAGGATGGCAGAGCGAGAGATCAATAATCACTGTAGAGCATTTCATAAAAAAATAGTGTAATACTGTTCTAGAGTCAGATTGTCTCAGCATTGTAAAGTACAGCAGGGTTAGAGAGATATACAAACTGTCATTGGTCCAGGCTTTTTGCTTCTCATCAGGGTGTTGTAGGAGGAAGTAGTGTAGGACCTTGCAAGTTTCTGGATAGGGCTGAGTGACTGGACTGTGAATGAGCGAGAGGGAGAGAGAGTGTGGGGGAATCAGTAATCAAGTAATATCAGACTGGATCCGTATCATTGATTATCAGCCCCTCAAAAGGTGGTAGGTATACATTCAGAAAAGTAGGCCAATTGTCCTAGCAATTAATTTAGTATCCTCACACGAATGCCTTTTCTACGTCTGCCTTTCAGTAAGCAGGAAAGGAGGTTTGTAAATTATACCCACACCAATAAAAAGGCTTATCTTGTAGCAGGTTGAGGGACTAACTTACTTCCACTAGTTACTACTAGCTAGCATGACTATAGCCAGTAGCTAGATAGGGCTGGCCAGCCAGCCAGCCTGCTAGTTAGTCAGCTTGTTATTTAGTCAGCAGTAACATCAGCTGGCTAATGCTAGCTACCCAGGTAGGGCAAGCCAACTTGTTGTTGAGTTAGTTCTATTGGCATGCTAACTACATGATAAGTTAACTATCTTAGCTAACATTACTATTTTTATCTTCCTGTCACACAAATGTCTAATCCCTTTGCTGTGCTGCTGACACTGCAGTTCAACCCAGACTGTAAACAAACACCTACTATGCCAGTAAATATTCAATTAGGGTGTGTGTACTTCCAGATATGAACAAAATGAAAAATGGGATACATTTTGTCATTATTTGTTTTCTGTTAATCGATGCCTCATTTGGACACCATAAATGAGAAAACGAGTTGATATCCGATTTTAGTTCATAAAATTCTGAAACCAAACAATACATGAGCCATATCCCGTTTTTTCACTTCCTGGTTTGAATGGAATAACCAATGAATGGAGGATACACAGACCGCTAGCCTATGCCTATTGAAATGACAAATCAATCTCGCAAATATGCCATTTATAAGGGCTTGTAGTCTTAATATCTGGCACATAATAATGGCACAATTGCCAGAAAATAGCCTAACATTGGTTTTTTGAAGTTTGTACAAGTATTTATTTCACAGAGACAGATCCTCTGTCCAACTTTCATCACTCAAACTCTCCTGTCGGATTTATCTATATTTGTGTAATTGCGCAAATGGGATTTAATTACAATCATAGTCAAATGAGTTAAATCGACATCCATTGATGGAAAAGGATCTGGCGAGTTTAATACGTGCAAATGATCTCTCTTGCGACATTCAAATTCCTTTATTACGAAACATTAGCGCACAAGATTTAGGCTATTATTATGATGGAAACCCGAATGTAGCTTTATACGCCGTTACAAGTTATGTTGATATTGCTTCTTAATTCTCTCGATAACGTTATAGAAAAACTTCTCTCTTGCTGCCCCAAATAAATTGGACGCTAGTTTTCAGGAGTTGTGGGCGGGTTTTGAGTTGTCTTTGAATACAAAAACTTAGCTTGACCTGGCAACCCTGATCGTGTTGATTCTGCCGCACACTTGCTGAAAATCTGCAATGGTCCCTGAGACGGAGAACATATAATAGACACGCCGTGCCTTTCACATTCAACATTTAAATCGGCTACTAGGCCTTACCTTCTAATATATTGTCAATATAGGATTTCTGTCTTTAAAAACTGTGAAGGAGTGAACAAGAACCTGAGGTTGTAGGACACAGACTACATCCATAAAAACATTTTATTTACGCACAATTTGAGAGTTTGGAGCCGCGGTGTAAACTTCAGTTTGTCACTGCCTCTATAGCGCGATCTCTGGAAGACGCGTCGCAATGGACCGGTGAGTTGGGGTGTCGCCGAATATGGATTTTAGATCATGCATATTGTAATGTCATTATTTTCCTACAACATGGGTTAATTGCCATTCATAGATAATGCCACTGCATGTCTTTAAAAAAAAGTATAGACGTCATGTGACATGATATCATGAAATACGAGCAAAATACACAAATTAATCTAGGCCTAGATTAACAAGTAAGCAATTGTTTAATAATTTGCTCCACTTTGTGACTTTTACATGATTGATTATCCATTGTAAATGTTCAAGATGCCAACTGAACACTCATTTAAGTCTGTTTGTTTAAAATTATAATACAATTATTGGTCATTCCTACCATCCTGTGCCTTTTGGAACTCATCATTTTTTGGGGGAAAGTTGTATTTATATATACAGCTCTGGAAAAAATTAAGAGACCACTGCAAAAATATAAGTTTCTCTGGTTTTACTATTTATAGGTATGTGTTTGGGTGAAATTAACATTTTTGTTTTATTCTATAAACTACTGACAACATTTCTCCCAAATTCCAAATAAAAATTATAATTTAGAGCATTTATTTGCAGAAATGAAAACTGGTCAAAATAACAAAAAAGATGCAGTGTTGTTAGACCTCGAATAATGCAAAGAAAATAAGTTCATGTTCATTTTTAAACAACACAATACTAATGTTTTAACTTAGGAAGAGTTCAGAAATCAATATTTGGTGGAATAACCCTGATTTTCAATCACAGCTTTCATGTTTCTTGGCATGCTCTCCACCAGTCTTTCACATTGATGTTGGGTGACTTCATGCCACTCCTGGCGCAAAAATTCAAGCAGCTCGGCTTTGTTTGATTGCTTGTGACCATCCATCTTCCTCTTGATCACATTCCAGAAGTTTTCAATGGGGTTCAGGTCTGGAGATTGGGCTGGCCATGACAGGGTCTTGATCTGGTGGTCCTCCATCCACACCTTGATTGACTTGACAAAGACAAATCTGCCCGATTCCAGCCTTGCTGAAGGACCCCCAAATCATCACCGATCCTCCACCAAATTTCACAGTGGGTGCGAGACACTGGCCTGTAGGCCTCTCCAGGTCTCCATCTAACCATTAGACGACCAGGTGTTGAGCAAAGCTGAAAATTGGACTCATCAGAGAAGATTACCTTACTCCAGTCCTCTACGGTCCAATCCTTATGGTCTTTTGCAAACCTCAGCCTGGCTCTTCTTTGTTTCTCATTGATGAAGGGCTTTTTTCTAGCTTTGCACGACTTCAGCCCTGCCCCTAGGAGCCTGTTTCGAGCCGTCCTCGCCTTGCACTTCACCCAAGCTGCTGTTTGCCATTATTTTTGGAGGTCACTTTGTCATCCTACGGTTGTTGAGTGACATTCGAATTAGTTGGCGGTCATCCCTGTCAGTAGAGAGTCGTTTTCGCCCTCTGCCGGTCTGTAGCTTTGTTGTCCCCAATGTCTGCTGCTTGACCTTGTTCTTATGAACCGCCGTCTTTGAAATTTTAAGGATGGAAGCAACCTGACGCTCACTGTATCCCTCTGCCAGTAAAGCCAGAATTGAACCCTTCTTTTCCTCACTCAACTTTCCTTTTCAACTCTTTTGGCATGGTCAATAGTTATTTTTTGATTAATATTACTTTTAAGGTACTATTAGCACAGTTTTTGCCATCCAGCTGGTCCTATTGCAAGATGATAGTGATGGCCATAGCAGTGGTTTTTATACTTTTCCTCATTAAATAAGATTTGGTTCAGGTGATCACCTAATCAGTACCTAATTCAGTAGAATGAGGTGTGCCTGTGTTGGAATTCAACAGACACTGGAATGGAGTGGCTGTCATACATGTAGAGATGCTGATTTAAGAAAAACTTGCAGTGGTCTCTTAATTTTTTCCAGAGCTATATATTTTACACACACACATACAGTACCAGTCAAATAGTTAAGACATCAAAACTATGAAATCACACAAATGGAATCATGTACTAACCAAAAAAAGTGTTAAACAAATCAAAATATATTTTATATTTGACATTCTTCAAAGTAGCTACCCTTTGCCTTGATTACAGCTTTACACTCTCTTGGAATTCTCTCAACCAGCTTCATGAGGTAGTCACCTGGAATGCATTTCAATTAACAGGTGTGCCTTCTTAAAAGTTAATGCGTTTGAGCCAATCAGTTGTGTTGTGACAAGGTAGGGGTGGTATACAGAAGATAGCCCTATTTGGTAAAAGACCAAGTCCATATTATGTCAAGAACAGCTCAAATAAGCAAAGAGAAACGACATTCCATCATTACTTTAAGACATGAAGGTCAGTCAATCCGGAAAATGTCAAGAACTTTTTAAGTTTCTTCAAGTGCAGTTGCAAAAACCATCAAGCGCTATGATGCAACTGGCTCTCATGTTACCTCTGCTGCAGAGAATAAGTTAATTATAGTTAGCTGCACCTCAGATTGCAGCCCAAATAGATGCTTCAGAGTTCAAGTAACAGACACATCTCAACATCAACTGTTCAGAGTAGACTGCCTGAAATTCCCTGTCTTAGGTCAGTTAGGATCACCACTTTATTTTAAGAATGTGAAATATCAGATTAATAGTAGAGAGAATTATTTATTTCAGCTTTTATTTCTTTCATCACATTCCCAGTGGGTCAGAAGTTTACATACACTCCATTAATATTTGGTAGCATTGCCTTTAAATTGTTTACTTGGGTCAAACGTTTCAGGTAGCCTTCCACAAGCTTCCCACAATAAGTTGGGTGAATTTTGGCCCATTCCTCCTGACAGAGCTGGTGTAACTGAGTCAGGTGCTCGCACACGCTTTTTCAGTTCTGCCCACACATTTTCTATAGGATTGAGGTCAGGGCTTTGTGATGCCACTCCAATACCTTGACTTTGTTGTCCTTAAGCCATTTTGGCACAACTTTGGAAGGGTGCTTGGGGTCCTTTTCCATTTGGAAGACCCATTTGCGACCAAGCTTCAACTTCCCACTGATGTCTTGAGATGTTGCTTCAATATATACACATAATTTTCCTTCCTCATGATGCCATCAATTTTGTGAAGTGCACCAGTCCCTCCTGCAGCAAAGCACCCCCACAGCATGATGCTGCCACCCCCGTGCTTCACGGTTGGGATGGTGTTCTTCGGCTTGCAAGCTACCCCCTTTTTCCTCCAAACATAACGATGGTCATTATGGCCAAACAGTTCTATTTTTGTTTCATCAGACCAGAGGACATTTCTCCCAAAAGTACAATCTTTGTCCCCATTTGCAGTTGCAAACCGTAGTCTGGCTTTTTTATGGCGGTTTTGGAGCAGTGGCTTCTTCCTTGCTGAGCGGCCTTTCAGGTTATGTCGATATAGGACTCGTTTTACTATGGATATACATACTTTTGTACCGGTTTCCTCCAGCATCTTCACAAGGACCTTTGCTGTTGTTCTGGGATTGATTTGCACTTTTCGCACCAAAGTACGTTCATCTCTAGCAGACAGAACGCGTCTCCTTCCTGAGCGGTATGACGGCTGCGTGGTCCCATGGTGTTTATACTTGCGTACTATTGTTTGTACAGATGAATGTGGTACCTTCAGGCATTTGGAAATATCTCCCAAGGATGAACCAGACTTGTGGAGGTCAACCATTTTTTTTCTGAGGTCTTGGCTGATTTCTTTTGATTTTCCCATGATGTCAAGCAAAGAGGCACTGAGTTTGAAGGTAGGCCTTGAAATGCATCCACAGGTACACCTCCAATTGACTAAAATGATGTCAATTAGCCTATCAGAAGCTTCTAAAGCCATGACATTTTCTGGAATTTTCTAAGCTGTTTAAAGGCACAGTCAACTTAGTGTATGTAAACTTCTGACCAACTGGAATTGTGATACAGTGAAATATAATGTCTGTAAACAATTGTTGGAAATATTACTTGTGTCATGCAAAGTAGATGTCCTAACCGACTTGCCAAAACTATAGTTAGTTAACAAGAAATTTGTGGAGTGGCTGAAAAACGAGTTTTAATGACTCCAACCTAAGTGTATGTAAACTTCCGACTTCAACTGTAAATATATATATGTGTGTGTGTAATCCAAAGTGTAATTAATAACTTCACCATGCTCAAAGGGATATTCAATGTCTGCTTTTTTTTTTCTTCCCCCAATCTACCAATAGGTGCCCTTCTTTGCGAGGCATTGGAAACCCTCCCTGGTCTTTGCAGTTGAATCTATTTGAAATTCACTGCTCGACTGAGGGACCTTACAGATAATTGTATGAGTGGGGTACAGAGATGAAGTAGTTATTGAAAAATCATGTTAAACACCTCAGGAAGACATCAGCTTGATGTCGATATGTCAGTCATCTGTTCGCATCCTGTACAATGGATTAAAGTGAGCAAAAATAAATCACTACCTTTTTGTTGAGTGCTCCAACTCCTTTTTACCTCGAATTAGTCCTTTTGGAAGTTTTTCCTTGGTAAGCCATTCTCATGTTAAACACTATTATTGCACACAGAGTGAGTCCATGCAACTTATTATGCGACTTGTCAAGCAAATCTTTACTCCTAAACTTATTTAGGCTTGCCATAACAAAGGGGTTGAATAGTTATTGACTCAAGACATTTCAGCTTTTGATTTGTAATTAATTTGTAAAAATGTCTACTAACATAATTCCGCTTTGACATTATGGGGTAGTGTTTAGGCCAGTGACGCAATCTTAATTTAATCCATTTTAAATTAAGGCTGTAACGCAATGTGGAAAAAGTCAAAGGGTGTGAATACTTTCTGAAGGCACTGTAACCTTATCTTTAAAGCCTTTTGGAATCCACATTTAACACTAAATAAGAAGTGATATTTCAGGTGGACAGAAAAGGCATCAGACAGTAGAATGAACCTTATAAATTGGTTATTTGACATGTAAGCCTACATCTTACAGGCAGAGCTCTTTCCCACTCAATTGATACTTCATATTTAAAAGTGTCTAGACTAGAGCCGTACCATGATTGAACCCAGTCAACTAAACCTACTCAGAGCCACAACCGATGGTATTAACTCATTCCCTCCTGTACACCCATCCCTGCCTCCCCTCTGCTAGGCCTGCCACCCTCCAGGACTACAAGGCTGCCATGCTGCTGAGTGGGGTTGGCGATGCCCTGGGCTACCGCAACCAGCTGTGGGAGTATAACGAGTCAGGGACAGCCATTCACCAGGTGGGCAATCTGGAAATGACCCTATAAAATCCCCAGGAGGATGGGTTCCCTCATTCCAGTAGCCTGGTTCCCAACTGCATTGCACTATTTGACTTTATCGTGAAGTGAAATGGAAACAGTTTGGATTCAGGTTATCATTCAATGGCATTCAGTACTACTCACATTCATATGACTGGTTCCAAGTTTAACCTTAGGACCTATAGACACCAGGCACTAGTATACGTCTGAAAGGATTGGATAATGTTTAAGCAGTAAGTGGTATAATGTGTAACCACCTAGCTAGCCTTTTAAAGAGAAAGGTTGAGCCATTATCATACCACTGCTAATAGGCCTACCTATCCAATCTTTCAGTTCTACATGAAGTACACCTAGACCGAGGTGTTGGGGCAAAGGGGTTATTTAGAATTGGGCTACACTCACATCTTTGTTTCCTCAGGAGTTGCAAGAGCTTGGTGGGCTGAAGAACATCACAGCACAACTTCCTGATTGGCCGGTCAGTGATGACACAGTCTTGCACCTGGCCACTGCAGAAGCGCTCGCCACCGGTGAGGCCTAAATCAAATTGTTTGCTCATAGTTTCCAGATTTCTACGTACCTAAAGGAGTTTGGTTTGAGGTCGTGTTCGAGGGTTGTCTCTGTGTGAATAGGTTTGGTTTGACTCTCTCGCAGGAAAGGAAGGGGAGGAGCTTCTGCAGGATGTGGCCGCTCGTTATGTCGAGGGCATGAAAGACATGGAAGGGAGGAAACCAGGGCCATCAAGCATCTTAGGCAACACATACTACTTTGTCCTAACAATGTTTTGATAAAAATAATTTTTCTAGTAAAGCTCCTCAGATTTTTTTGTGTAGTGTGCTTTCGTAAAGTAATCAATCAGACCCCATCCCCTTTTCCACATTGTTACATTACAGCCTTATTCTAAAATGGATTCAATCTTTTTTTTCCCTCATCAATCTACACACAATACCCCATAATGACGAAGCAAAAACAAGTTTAGACATTTTTGCAAATGTATAAAAAATTAACCGTATTTACATAAGTATTCAGACCCTATGCTATGATCAATGGAAACAGGTGCATCCTGTTTCCATTGATCATCCTTGAGATGTTTCTACAACTTGGAGTCCACCTGTGGTAAATTCAATTAATTGGACATGATTTGGAAAGGCACACACGTGTCTATATAAGGTCCCACAGTTGACAGTGCATATCAGAAGAAAAACCAAGCCATGAGGTCGAAGGAATTGTCCGTAGAGGTCCGAGACAGAATGGTGACGAGGCACAGATCTGTGGAAGGGTACCAACAAATTTCTGCAGCATTGAAGGTCCCCAAGAACACCGTGGCCTCCATCATTCTTAAAATGGAAGAAGTTTGGATCCACCAAGACTCTTCCTAGAGCTGGCCGCCCGGCCAAACTGAGCAATCGGGGGAGAAGGGCCTTGGTCAGGGAGGTGACCAAGAACCCAATGGTCACTCTGACAGAGCTCCAGGGTTCCTCTGTGGAGATGGTTGTCCTTCTGGAAGGTTCTCTCATCTCTGCAGCAATCCACCAGTTAGGCCTTTATGGTAGACTGGCCAGATGTAAGCCAATCCTCAGTAAAAGGCACATGACAGCCCGCTTGGAGTTTGCCAAAAGGCACCTAAAGGAAACAAGATTCTCTGGTCTGATGAAACCAAGATTGAACTCTTTGGCCTGAATGCCAAGCTCCACGTCTGGAGGAAACCTTGCACCATCTGTACGGTGAAGCATGGTGGTGGCAGCATCATGCTGTGGGATGTTTTTCACTGGCAGGGACTGGGAGACTAGTCAGGATCGAGGCAAAGATGAACAGAGCAAAGTACAGAGAGATCCTTGATGAAAACCTGCTCCAGAGCGCTCAGGACCTCAGACTGGGGCGAAGGTTCACCTTCCAACAGGACAACAACCCTAAGCACACAGCCAAGACAACGCAGGAGTGGCTTCAGGACAAGTCTCTGAATGTCCTTGAGTGGCCCAGCCAGAGCCCGGACTTGAACCTGATCGAACATCTCTGGAGAGACCTGAAAATAGCTGTGCAGCGACGCTCCCCATCCAACCTGACAGAGCTTGAGAGGATCTGCAGAGAAGAATGGGAGAATCTCCCCAAATACAGGTGTGCCAAGCTTGTAGCATCATACCCAAGAAGACTTGAGGCTGTAATCGCTGCCAAAGATGCTTCAACAAAGTCCTGAGTGAAGGGTCTGAATACTTATGTAAATGTAATCCGTTTTTTTTTATATATACATTTGCAAACATTTCTAAAAACCTGTTTTTGCTTTGTCATTATGGGGTATTTTGTGTAGATTGATGAGGGGGAAAAAACACTAATCAATTTTAGAATAAGGCTGTAACATAACAAAATGTGGAAAAAGTCAAGGGGTCTGAATACTTTCCCAATGCACTATATATCAAAATGTTTCTTTGTTCCTAAATGTATTTTTTGTACTTTGACAGAAACGCTCTAGACCTCATTTGTACTCTCTTGTACCCTAAGGAGTGTCCCAGTTGAGGCCGGGAACTGAAGGGGGCTTCAGAGTGCCCTACAACCCTGATGGCACCGGATGTGGGGCAGCCATGAGGTCTATGTGCATCGGTCTGAGGTGTGAGTGAGAGGTCGAGAGAGTGTGGTTATATACACTGAACAAAAATATAAAACGCAACATGCAACAATTTCAAAGATTTTACTGAGTTACAGTTCATAGAAGGAAATCAGTCAATTGAAATAAATAAATTAGGCCCTAAGCTATGGATTTCACATGACTGGGCAGGGGCGCAGCCATGGGTTGGCCTGGGAGGTCATAGGCCCACCCACTTGGGAGCCAGGCCCACAGAACTACTCTTCACCAGTGTAATGAAAAAAAAAAATGAAAAAAACATGTATGCACTCACTAACTGTAAGTAGCTCTGGATAAGAGCGTCTGCTAAATGACTAAAATGTAAATGTAAAATGTAATGATCATGCCGTTTAATCAGCTTCTTGATATGCCACACCTGTCAGGTGGATGGATTATCTTGGCAAAAGAGACATGCTCACTAACAAATGTATTTTATTTTTTGTGCGTCTGGAAGATTTCTGGGATCTTTTATTTCAGCTCATGAAACATGGGACCAACACTTTACATGTTGCATTTATATTTTTTGTTCAGTGTAGATAGACCTGGTTAGAAGTCAGGGCCTGTATCCATAAAGCGTCTCAGAGTAGGAGTGCTGCTTTAGGATCAGTTTTGCCTTTTAGATAATAATCAATAAGATTATATGGACAGATCCTAGATCAGCACTCCTACTCTGGGACGCTTTATGAATACGAGCCCAGGTAATATTAAAGTTGCACAGCTGAACTATTTTACATACACTACCAGTCAAAAGTTTGGACACACCTACTCATTCAAGGGTTTTTCTTTATTTTTTAAACTATTTTCTACATTGTAGAATAATAGTAAGGGATTGAGTCACAATATAATCATACATGCGCCTACCATGATCAGATCCACCACCACATAGCTCCCGCTCTAGGTACCCGTGGCCAGAGCAGCTGTCCACTCTGGTGGCCATTGCTGTGGAAACAGGAAGGATGACCCACCCTCACCCGACTGGTTTCCTCGGTGCCGTGGCGTCGGCGCTCTTCACCTCATACGCTGTCCAGCGCCGGCCAATCACGACCTGGGGGCTGGGCCTGGTCAAGGAGGCCTGTCCAATCTCCAAGAGCTTTGTTCAGTCGAGGGGCTTTGCTGTCAGAGAGACTGAGAGAGACTGGGGCTACTTCACTGAGAAGTGGGAGTGGTAAGAATAACCAATAACATCAATGATAACATGAAAATCGATAGGGGGCGGGTGTGTTTTGGTTGAGCTGCCATATAATTTAAAGTTAATTATTTGCTAATTCAATAGATTATTTTTTAATGTTAAGGTCAGAAACATTGAATGACATTTATACAGTATAATACAGAATCAAATGACTGTCAACATTCCATTTCAATCATGTGGATGGATACAGATCTTAGCTTATGATTTCAAACCATAACTCTCAGCAAGTCAAGGCAGCCAGCTGAAAGGTGAAATCAATTACATGCTGATGTACAGTATATAAGGAATGAAAAAACAAAATCAATGTAAAAGCATCCATGTCTCTGCTCTGGAGTGACGTTTCCCCGAGGTACAGATCTAGGATCAGCTTCCCCTCCCCCAAATCTAACCTTAACCATTAGTGGGTAAAATTCAAAACCGACCCAAGATCATTATCTAGGGGCAACTTCACCCCACACCTCCATCCCCTTTTATGACCCCTTCCCCCTCCATAGGTACCTGGAGCTGAGAGGCCTCTCAGAGAGGACGGGCCCCGTGCTTTGGCCAGCGTCCTATGGGCCGGCTGAGAGAGACAAGGTCTATAAGAGCTTCAGCCTGAAGGGCTGGGCGGGCCGCAGTGGCCACGACGCTCCAATGATCGCCCTGGATGCCCTGCTGGGGGCGGGTTCAGACTGGGAGGAGCTGATGAGCCGCGGGGCCTTCCATGGAGGTCAGTTCACAGTGCAGCGTTTGGCCCAAGAGAATGATAGAGGCCTCTAGTGGCCAAAAGGCCGTATTAGAATGGGCAGCGCCATTGAGGGCTTCCACCATTTTAATGTAGTTAACTGGGTGGGACTTCCAACTTCATTGGCTGATCCCTCCTGGTGACCCTGTTGGAGTCATGTCCAACTGGGTCATCAGGAGGGATCAGCCAATCGTGAAGAAGAAAATGGACTACTTCAAAATGGAGATTGCCTCAATGGCGATGCCCATTCTGTCACAGACGCTATAATGGCACAGATACAAAGATGAGTCCTATCTATCTCTATGGTTTGGCCGCATTCCAGGCTGACTACATTGCAGACGCTTGCCAGATCTTACAACACCTGGATAGCTGTTGAAAATTTCAGCGAACCACATCATATGATATCGCAATCTCATGTTCGACTGCGCAGTAAAGGATGTGGCATACAACCATTGGTTGATGCAATGCAATGTGATCCGCCAGGAATGCGACACATATCTCTGTTTATGTCACAATTTCTAGGTAGTGAGTGATTTGATGGCCATCTTAGAACGGACAATATTGACAATACTGTCCGAATTGAGGAAATACATATAATTTACTATATGCTTAAATTAAGGTTAGTGTGGTCTCTCGGGGGACACTGTGGCCCTTTACGACGAAACCCCAGACAGGGCCAACCAGGCAGGATATAACCCCCACACCACTAGCATAGCCCCCACACCACTAGTGGGATCTCAACAGACCACTAACGTACTACCCTGAGACAAGGCTGAGTATAGCCCACGAAGATCTCCACCGCATGAGCCCGAGGGGGCGCAAGACCGGACAGGAAGATCACGTCAAGTAGAGTATAGCAAAAAATGCTTGGCATGACGTGACGCACCCCTCCTAGGGACGGCATGGAGGAGCACTAGTAAGCCAGTGACTCAGCCCCCGTAATAGGGTCAGAGACAGAGAATTCCAGTGGAGAGAGGGGAGCCGGCCAGGCAGAGACAGCAAGGGCGGTTCGTCACTCCTATGCCTTGCCGTTCACCTTCGCACCCCTAGGCCAGACTACACTCAATCATAGGACCTACTGAAGAGATTAGTCTTCAGTAAAGACTTAAAGGTCGAGACCGAGTCTGCGTCTCTCACATGGATAGGCAGACCATTCCATAAAAATGTAGCTCTATAGGAGAAAGCCCTGCCTCCAGCAGTTTGTTTAGAAATTCTAGGGACAATACAGAGGCCTGCGTCTTGTGACCGTAGCGTACGTGTAGGTATGTACGGCAGGATCAAATCGGAGAGATAGGTAGGAGCAAGTCCATGTAATGCTTTGTAGGTTAGCAGTAAAACCATGTTTCATCTAAATGTACAGCTGTGTGTCGTCCGCATAGCAGTGAAAGTTGGCATTGTGTTTCTGAATGACATCACCAAGAGGTAGAATATATAGTGAAAACAATAGTGGTCCTAAAACGGAACCTTGAGGTACACCGAAACTTACAAATGATTTGTCAGAGGACAAACCACCCACAGAGACGAACTGATATCTTTCCGACAGATAAGATCTAAACCAGGCAAGAACATGTCCGTGTAGACAAATTAGGGTTTCCAATCTCTCCAAAAGAATGTGGATCCAGGGTATTACTGTGGCAATGAGTAGGTCCGGAGCCTATTTTGAGTGGATTTGTTGACTTTTCCATGTGAATATTGAAGTCATCAAAAAATTTGAATATTATCTGCCATGACTACAAGGTCCGATAGGAATTCAGGGAACTCAGTGAGGAACTCTGTATACATTCCAGGAGGCCTGTAAACAGTAGCTATAAAAAGTGATTGAGTAGGCTGCATAGATTTCTTGACCCAGAAGCTCAAAATACGAAAACACAGTATTTTGGGGGGGGATAAATTGACATTTGCTGTCGTAAATGTTGGCAACACCGCCGCCTTTGTGGGATGCGCGGGGGATATGGTCACTAGTGTAACCAGGAGGAGAGGCCTCATTTAACACAGGAAATTCATCAGGCTTGAGCCATGTTTCAGTCAGGTCAATCACATCAAGGTTATGATCAGTGATTAGTTCATTGACTATGATTGCCTTGGAAGTGAGGGATCTAACATTAAGTAGTCCTATTTTGATCTCTTTCATTAATGACAGGAATGGAGGTGGTCTTTATTCCAGTGAGATTTCTAAGGCGAACACAGTCATGTTTAGTTTTGCCCGACCTAGATGGAGGCACAGACACGGTCTCAATAAGCTGTCTATACTGACTGTGCTAGTGGCAGACTCCACTAAGCTGGCAGGCTGGCTAACAGCCTGATGCCTGCACCCTATCTCATTGTGGAGCTAGAGGAGTTAGAGCCCTGTATGTTGATAGATAGGATGAGAGCACCCTTCCAGCTTGGATGGAGTCCATCACTCCTCAGCAGGCCAAGCTTGGTCATGTTTGTGGGAGAGTCCCAGAAAGAGGGCCAGTTATCTTTAGTTAGCTCTGACTCAGACTTGATGCTTAGTGGGGAAAACTGGTTGAAAGTTTATATCGGCTAAATGAGCGACACCGGTTGTGCATGCCGAAAGCATTTATTTCCAGAAGCCATGAGAAAATTGTCCGGCTGCGGGGACTGTGCAGGGGGATTAACAATACTACCAGATTTGTACCTGTGTGCACTGAAAGTGGTGGCACAAATTACAAGACCAACCCCAGGCCACATGGTTGCATTAGAATTCACTTCCACATAACTTCACCTCAGTAACTCACCCACCTCCATCTACTTCATTCCTAACTGTACACCCATCTCTCTCGCCCCTCCTCCTTCTCCCACATTCCTTATCTTTACCTCCCTCTCCCGCCTCTTCCTTCCCCTCTCACTTTCTCTCATCTATTTTATATCCACATCTATATCCATCTCACTCCCCCATTCACCTACCTCTCCCCCCTCCCCCTCCATTCCTCCCTCAATTCCAGGTGACAGTGACAGTACGGCGGTGATCGCCTGTTGCTGCTGGGGGCTGCTCCATGGCACGGAGGGCGTCCCGCCCGGCAACTACACCCACCTGGAGTACAGGGAGCGGCTGGAGAGCAGCGCTGAAAAGCTCTATGCCCTGTCACACAGAGGAGGTGACAAGTACGATCCATAAAGCGCTGAGGGGGAGACGAAGAGAGAAAATGTGTGAGAGAGGGAGACTGTGTGAGTGAGTGAATGAGACTCCCTAATGTTTTACTGTCTTAACCACATGCATTGTCGCTGTACTCAGTCTTGCCCAAAAGTAACTACGCTTGGTAGGAAGTCAATTGATCCGGTGTAGCGCTTACACAGTGTAATAGAAAAACTTATGTCAAAGTAGATGCCTAGAGGGAATGGTTCCGTCCCACTGACCTAGAGCAAGATGTATCCCAAATAGAACTCTATTCCCTATGGGCTCATGTCAAAAGTAGGGCACTATGTAGGGAATAGGGTTCCATTTGGGACACATCTAAAGTCTACACCCAAGCACAATGAGGAGGAGGATTCAGTCATAGAAGAGGCATGCTATTGAGAATTGCCAAGACATGATAAATAAAGGGAGTACAGTGCATTAGGAAAGTAGTCAGACCCCTTGAGTTTTTCCACATTTTGTTACATTACGGCCTAATTCTAAAATTGCTTACATTTTTCCTCATTAATCTACACACAATACTCCATAATGACAAAGCGAAAACCGGGTTTTAGAAATGTTTGCAAATGTATAAAAAAAACTAAACATAAGTATTCAGACCCTTTCCTATGAGACTCGAAATTGAGCTCAGGTGCATCCTGTTTCCATTGATCATACTTGAGATGTTTCTACGACTTGGAATCCACCTGTGGTAAATTCAATTGATTGGACATGATTTGGAAAGGCACACACCTGTCTATATAAGGTCCCACAGTTGACAGTGCATGTCAGAGCAAAAACCAAGCCATGAGGTCGAGGGAATTGTCCGTAGAGCACCGAGACAGGATTCTGTCGAAGCACAGATCTGGGGAAGGGTACCAAAACATTTATGTAGCATTGAAAGTCCCCTAGAACACAGTGGCTTCCATCATTCTTAAATGGAAGAAGTTTGTAACCACCAAGACTCTTCCTAGAGCTGGTCGCCCGGCCAAACTGAGCAATCGTGGGAGAAGGGCCTTGGTCAAGGAGGTGACCAAGAACACGATGATCACTCTGACAGAGCTCCAGAGTTCCTCTGTGGAGATGGGAGAACCTTCCAGAAGGACAACCATCTCTGCAGGACTCTCAGACCATGAGAAACAAGATTCTCTGGTCTGATGAAACCGAGATCGAACTCTTTGGCCTGAATGCCAAGTGTCACCTCTGGAGGAAACCTGGCACCATCCCTATTGGGGAAGCATGGTGGTGTCAGCATCATGCTGTGGGGATGTTTTTCAGCAGCAGGGACTGGGAGACTAGTCAGGATTGAGGGAAAAGTACAGAGAGATCCTTGATGAAAACCTGCTCCAGCGCGATCAGGACCTCAGACTGGGGCGAAGGTTCACCTTCCAACAGGACAACAACCTAAGCACACAGCCAAGACAAAGCAGGAGTGGCTTCGGGACAAGTCTCTGAATGTCCTTGAGTGGCCCAGCCAGAGCCCGGACTTGAACCCAATCAAACATCTCTGGAGAGACCTGAAAATAGCTGTGCAGCGACACTCCACATCCAACCTGACAGACCTTGAGAGGATCTGAAGAGAACAATGGGAGAAACTCCCCAAATACAGGTGTGCCAAGCTTGTAACGTCATACCCAAGAAGACTCAAGGCTGTAATCGCTGCCAAAGGTACTTCAACAAAGTACTGAGTAACGGGTCTGAATACTTATGTAAATGTGATATTTCAGTTGTTTATTTTTAATACATTTGCAAACATTTCCAAAAAACAGTTTTTGCTTTGTCATTATGAGGTATTGTGTGTAGATTGAGGGAAAAAAATGATTTAATCCATTTTGGAATAAGGCTGTAACGTAACAAAATGTGGAAAAAGTCAAGGGGTCTGAATACTTTCTGAATGCACTGTATTTACAATAATCAGAGCTAGATAAGTGACTAAATTAGGGCTGGGAATTGCCAGGGACCTCACGATATGATATTACCATGATACTTCGGTACCGATACGATATGTATTGCGATTCTATGTATGCGATTCGATACTGCAATTTTATTGCGATTTGATGTTCCAAACATATTGCTCACTATATGTCTGCTGCAGAGGAACAAGAGAGCCATGAGAAAGCACATTTTGTAGAAAAATACTCAAAACATGATGGCTCACCATTTAAAAAGAAGATGGAGAACAAGCTATAGGATGAGAAATACCGTAGTTTTGGCGCAAGTACAGCCGACTAGCGCTAGCTAATGTTAACTACCTAGCAAATCGATAGTCAGTATCAATATAAAATTGTCAAATTATATCACGATACTCTAGATTTCTTGCCCCATCACTACATAAAATGTGAACATTTAAGAACTCCAGGTTGGACTGACAAATGCGACATTTTGGAACCACGATTCATGTAATGTGTAGACAGGTTTATGTGTGAATGTTAATTGTTAATCTGCCAAGTGTTAAACAGTAAACACAAAACTCCAGTAGAAGTGTAACCAAAACCTCTTAAGTGGCTAAAATACAATGGATACCCATGACGTAAGAACTGCTTAAACCTCGGTTTTAACTGTGGGAACTGCATTTGATTTGTTTGTTGAAATTACATGATTACTTTGTTAGTGTCTTCTTTACATTGAAATGTGTCTTACAAATGGTTCCCCTTTGGTTGAACATATTGGTTTTTACGAGATGATAAGACTTGACAACTAACGTATTCTTCCAATAAAAAAAGTAATACATTCAACAAACAAGATGTTTCTGTAGTTAAGTTTAAAACTTTATTTTTTGGTCATTGTAGTTTTAAGTATTTTTTAGTATTTTCCATATTTTGTTAATTATTATTTATAATAAGCTATAAGAGAGAGGAAAGGGGAAGGGTGGGTTGATACCGGGTAAAGTAAAAATCCAATCTCCTCTCCAACTCCCTCCTTTTATGCCGTTCCATTCGGTCACTCCTCCTTTTTGCGACACTAAACGATTTCTGAGCAAGTGTTTGTTTTTCTTCTGTCCATTCGCCCAATATCAAGGAACTTAACTAAAGGAGTCAGTCACAAAGCGATTTTACGTTGTCAAACATTGTGTCCTTCGCTCGTTTGGCGTCCATGTCTTTTCTCTCCGCTATGATGATCTCACATGGTCGCCTTTGTCTTTAAAATGGAAGGAGCTGGAAGGGAAGGTTTGGATTGGGTGCGGCTTCTGTTGGTGTACCTGACCAATGAGGTCTTGCCGCTTCTCCCTGCAAGCCCGTCACTGTGTCACGTGATTGTGTCACTTCCTGGTTGGGCGTGGTCATGTCCAGAGGGCAGAACAGAGGGGCTCAGTTTCCAGGAGGGTGGAAGGGAGAGGGGTGCGTCTGTACCTGCATCGCTGTGGGGAAAAAAACGGAAGTAAGAATCAAGTATTGATTAACACAATATTACTATGGACGAAAAAAGAACAAGATGAGTAGTAGTGTTTCAGTTCAATGGGCACCATGCACCTATTTGATATTTAGACAAAATATTACAAAAGTACTTTTCAACTACAGTCATCACAAAACACATTAGAAACCAGCATCTATAACTACAGTTTTAGACAAGTTCCATATAAACGGCCAACAACAAGACTGCATCAAATACAATATATGCGAAGAGGTCCAGATACTGCTTCTCCAATAGAAATCCCAGATCACGCTTGTAGGCGATGTCATGGCAGCTAAGCTCATGCGCAAAAACACATCATGGGCCTAACGATGTCGTGCCGAACTACGCATGTGCAAGCCCGTTAAATGAAAGGCACTTATTCGCTATAGTTTTGGACAAATTTAAACGTGTCAGTTCGTAACTTTCACAAGGTTACAGTAATGACATGTTCAGCTACTTAAGACATTGAATCAGGGGTGAAAGTAGATTTAATTTCTTACTGGTATGGCACACGCAAGCTTGCGTAATCATAGAATTACATATAGAATTAATTAATTAAATATATGGTATTTCTATAAATAATGGGACCAATGTGTTACATTAGCATAAACATTTCTAAATGTTTTGAAACAAAGATAAGGATTTTCATGCAGTTCCACGTGTACTAGAGGAATAAAAGCAAATTGACCCACCCATAACTCCACCTATACAACAACATAGGCCTAGGACTATACATCCTTTAAGCAGGGTTCAAAAATAAATTGGCAAGTGAAATTCAAGACCTTTCAGGGACTTTTTCAAGCAAATCATTCAAATTTTCAAGAACCTCAATGTTATACAATTGTATAATTTACATAATTGTACATACAGTGCATTCGGAAAGTATTCAGACCCCTTGACTTTTTCCACATTTTAAGTTACAGCCTTATTCTAAAATGGATTAAATTGTTATTGTTCCCTCAATCTACACACAATACTTCATAATGACAAAGCAAAAATAGGTTCTCCCATTCTTCTCTGCAGATCCTCTCAAGCGCTGTCAGGTTGGATGGGGAGCGTCGCTTCACAGCTATTTTCAGGTCTCTCCAGAGATGTTAGATTGGGTTCAAGTCCGGGCTCTGGCTGGGCCACTCAAGGACATTCAGAGACTTGTCCTGAAGCCACTCCTGCGTTGTCTTGGCTGTGTACTTAGGGTTGTTGTCCTGTTGGAAGGTGAACCTTCGCCCCAGTCTGAGGTCCTGAGCGCTCTGGAGCAGGTTTTCATCAAGGATCTCTCTGTACTTCGCTCCGTTCATCTTTCCCTCGATCCTGACTAGTCTCGCAGTCCCTGCCACTGAAAAACATCCCCACAGCATGATGCTGCCACCACCATGCTTGACCGTAGTGATGGTGCCAGGTTTTCTCCAGACGTGAAGCTTGGCATTCAGGCCAAATAGTTCAATTTTGGTTCCATCAGACCAGAGAATCTTGTTTCTCATTGTCTGAGAGTCCTTTAGGTGCCCTTTGGCAAATTCCAAGCGGGCTGTCATGTGCCTTTTACAGAGGAGTGGCTTCTGTCTGGCCACTCTCCAATAAAGGCCTGATTGGTGGAGTGCTGGAGAGATGGTTGTCCTTCTGGAAGGCTCTCCCATCTCCACAGAGGAACTCTGGAGCTCTGTTAGAGTGACCATCGGGTTCTTGGTCACCTCCCTGACCAAGGCCCTTCTCCCCCGATTGCTCAGTTTGGCCAGGCGGCCAGCTCTAGGAAGAGTCTTGGTGGTTCCAAATTTCTTCCATTTAAGAATGATGGAGTCCACTGTGTACTTGGGGACCTTCAATGCTGCAGACATTTTTTGGTACCCTTCCCCAGATCTGTACCTCGACACAATCCTGTCTCGGAGCTCTACGGACAATTCCTTCGACCTCAAGGCTTGGTTTTTGCTCTGATATGTACTGTCAGCTGTGGGACCTTATATAGGCAGGTGTGTGCCTTTCCAAATCATGTCCAATCAATTTAATTTACCACAGGTGGCCTCCAATCAAGTTGTAGAAACAGCTCAAGAATGACCAATGGAAACAGGATGCACCTGATCTTAATTTCGAGTCTCATAGCAAAGGGTCTGAATACTTATGTAAATAAGGTATTTCTGTTTTATTGAAAACATTTGTATTTATTTTTTTATCTTGCTTTGTCATTATGGGGTATTGTGTGTAGATTGAGGGGAAAAATTAATTTAATCAATTTTAGAATAAGGCTGTAACGTAACAAAATATGGAAAAAGTAAAGGAAAATACTTTGTATAGGGCTTAATATAGAGATGTAAACACATTTCTGCACAACATTTGAGATAAATAATATTTTTGTGCGTATGGAACATTTCTGGGATCTTTTATTTCAGCTCAAGAAACATGGGACCAACACTTTACATGTTGCATTTATATTTCTGTTCAGTATAATTCAATTTACATTAGCGAAAGCTTAGCTTCCCCTAGCCTTATGGACATGCCGCCTATGCCTTTTAAATGTGACAAACACAACCAGTCATGTTTCCATCCGATTGTTTGACAATCACTTAAAAAAGGGGCTCCTGTAGTCTACCCGTGCATGTTCGTCCACTCATAAAATATTTCCAGCATCCAAACCCCAACACTGTGCACCTGCAATTCGATGAATGGAAAGAGGCATCTGTTACAAAACACCTACAGTTGAAGTTGGAAGTTTACATACACTTTAGCCAAATACATTTAAACTCAGTTTTTCACAATTCCTGACATTTCATCCTAGTAAAAATTCCCTGTCTTAGGTCAGTTAGGATCACCACTTTATTTTAAGAATGTGAAATGTCAGAATAATAGTAGAGAGAATGATTTATTTCAGCTTTTATTTCTTTCATCACATTCCCAGTGGGTCAGAAGTTTACATACACTCAATTAGTATTTGGTAGCATTGCCTTTAAATTGTTTAACTTGGGTCAAACGTTTCGGGTAGCCTTCCACAAGCTTCCTACAATAAGTTGGGTGAATTTTGGCCCATTCCTCCAGACAGAGCTCCTGTAACTGAGTCAGGTTTGTAGGCCTCCTTGCTCGTACACGCTTTTTCAGTTCTGCCCACACATTTTCTATAGGATTGAGGTCAGGGCTTTGTGATGGCCACTCCCATACCTTGACTTTGTTGTCCTTAAGCCATTTTGCCACAACTTTGGAAGTATGCTTGGGGTCATTGTCCATTTGGAAGACCCATTTGCGACCAAGCTTTAACTTCCTGACTGATGTCTTGAGATGTTGCTTCAATATATCCACATAATGTTCCTTCCTCATGATGCCATCTATTTTGTGAAGTGCACGAGTCCCTCCTGCAGCAAAGCACCCCCACAGCATGATGCTGCCACCCCTGTGCTTCACGGTTGGGATGGTGTTCTTCGGCTTGCAAGCAGCCCCCTTTTTCCTCCAAACATAACAATGGTCATTATAGCCAAACAGTTCTATTTTTGTTTAATAAAGACCAGAGGACATTTCTCCAAAAAGTACGATCTTTGTCCCCATGTGCAGTTGCAAACTGTAGTCTGGCTTTTTTATGGCGGTTTTGGAGCAGTGGCTTCTTCCTTGCTAAGCGGCCTTTCAGGTCATGTCGATATAGGACTCGTTTTATTGTGGATATAGATACTTTTGTACCTGTTTCCTCCAGCATGTTCACAAGGTCCTTTGCTGTTGTTCTGGGATTGATTTGCACCAAAGTACGTTAATCTCTAGGAGACAGAACGCGTCTCCTTCCTGAGTGGTATGACGGCTGCGTGGTCCCATGGTGTTTATACTTGCGTACTATTGTTTGTACAGATGAACGTGGTACCTTCAGGCGTTTGGAAATTGCTCCCAAGGATGAAACAGACTTGTGGAGGTCTACAATATTTTTTCTGAGGTCTTGGCTGATTTCTTTTGATTTTCCCATGATGTCAAACAAAGAGGCACTGAGTTTGAAGGTAGGCCTTGAAATACATCCACAGGTACACCTCCAATTGACGTCAATTAGCCTATTAGAAGCTTCTAAAGCCATGACATCATTTTCTGGAATTTTCCAAGCTGTTTAAAGGCACAGTCAACTTAGTGTACAGTGGGGAAAAAAGTATTTAGTCAGCCACCAATTGTGCAAGTTCTCCCACTTAAAAAGATGAGAGAGGCCTGTAATTTTCATCATAGGTACACGTCAACTATGACAGACAAAGTGAGGGAAAAAATCCAGAAAATCACATTGTAGGATTTTTAATAAATTTATTTGCAAATTATGGTGGAAAATAAGTATTTGGTCACCTACAAACAAGCAAGATTTCTGGCTCTCACAGACCTGTAACTTCTTCTTTAAGAGGCTCCTCTGTCCTCCACTCGTTACCTGTATTAATGGCACCTGTTTGAACTTGTTATCAGTATGAAAGACACCTGTCCACAACCTCAAACAGTCACACTCCAAACTCCACTATGGCCAAGACCAAAGAGCTGTCAAAGGACACCAGAAACAAAATTGTAGACCTGCACCAGCCTGGGAAGACTGAATCTGCAATAGGTAAGCAGCTTGGTTTGAAGAAATCAACTGTGGGAGCAATTATTAGGAAATGGAAGACATACTTATTGTCCACCATAATTTGCAAATAAATTCATGACAGACACAATTAGATTTTTTTCTCTCCAGAAAATCACATTGTAGGATATTTTATGAAATTATTTGCAAATTATGGTGGAAAATAAGTATTTGGTCAATAACAAAAGTTTCTCAATACTTTGTTATATACCCTTTGTTGGCAATGACACAGGTCAAACGTTTTCTGTAAGTCTTCACAAGGTTTTCACACACTGTTGCTGGTATTTTGGCCCATTCCTCCATGCAGATCTCCTCTAGAGCAGTGATGTTTTGGGGCTGTCGCTGGGCAACACTGACTTTCAACTCCCTCCAAAGATTTTCTATGGGGTTGAGATCTGGAGACTGGCTAGGCCACTCCAGGACCTTGAAATGCTTCTTACGAAGCAACTCCTTCGTTGCCCGGGCGGTGTGTTTGGGATCATTGTCATGCTGAAAGACCCAGCCACGTTTCATCTTCAATGCCCTTGCTGATGGAAGGAGGTTTTCACTCAAAATCTCATGATACATGGCCCCATTCATTCTTTCCTTTACACGGATCAGTCGTCCTGGTCCCTTTGCAGAAAAACAGCCCCAAAGCATGATGTTTCCACCCCCATGCTTCACAGTAGGTATGGTGTTCTTTGGATGCAACTCAGCATTCTTTGTCCTCCAAACACGACGAGTTGAGTTTTTACGAAGAAGTTCTATTTTGGTTTCATCTGACCATATGACATTCTCCCAATCCTCTTCTGGATCATCCAAATGCACTCTAGCAAACTTCAGACGGGCCTGGACATGTACTGGCTTAAGCAGGGGGACACGTCTGGCACTGCAGGATTTGAGTCCCTGGCGGCGTAGTGTGTTACTGATGGTAGGCTTTGTTACTTTGGTCCCAGCTCTCTGCAGGTCATTCACTAGGTCCCCCCGTGTGGTTCTGGGATTTTTGCTCACTGTTCTTGTGATCATTTTGACCCCACAGGGTGAGTCTTGCGTGGAGCCCCAGATCGAGGGAGATTATCAGTGGTCTTGTATGTCTTCCATTTCCTAATAATTGCTCCCACAGTTGATTTCTTCAAACCAAGCTGCTTACCTATTGCAGATTCAGTCTTCCCAGCCTGGTGCAGGTCTACAATGTTGTTTCTGGTGTCCTTTGACAGCTCTTTGGTCTTGGCCATAGTGGAGTTTGGAGTGTGACTGTTTGAGGTTGTGGACAGGTGTCTTTCATACTGATAACAAGTTCAAACAGGTGCCATTAATACAGGTAACGAGTGGAGGACAGAGGAGGCTCTTAAAGAAGAAGTTACAGGTCTGTGAGAGCCAGAAATCTTGCTTGTTTGTAGGTGACCAAATACTTATTTTCCACCATAATTTGCAAATAAATTTATTAAAAATCCTACAATGTGATTTTCTGGATTTTTTCCCTCACTTTGTCTGTCATAGTTGACGTGTACCTATGATGAAAATTACAGGCCTCTCTCATCTTTTTAAGTGGGAGAACTTGCACAATTGGCGGTTGACTAAATACTTTTTTTCCCCACTGTATGTAAACTTCTGACCCACTGGAATTGTGATACAGTGAATTATAAGTGAAATAATCTGTCTGTAAACAATTGTTGGAAAAATTACTTGTGTCATGCACAAAGTACATGTCCTAACAAGGAATTTGTGAATTTGTAAGTGTATGTAAACTTCCGACTTCAACTGTATGTCTAATCTAATGACATTCTGCAATTGTATAATTTAATTGTGTCCACTCATCTCCGCATCGTCTCGATCTCGGCCACTCATCTCCGCCTTGGCAAAAGTGTTCTTGTCGAACCACAACAGAATTTGGAGCGTATACCACCCTTTTTTTGGGGTCAATTTTGCACTACGGAAATGTCGCCCCTCTAGTATAACACTCTGGTCCCCTTCTCTGCAGTAATACAAGCTTAGGGCACCTTCATACCTTGTGGATGTCCTATGTAGAAGTGTTGGTGGGCCCCTTGCTGGAGGCCATGTTGGGGGTGCTGGGAGACCTGTCCAAGGCCCTGCTGGGGGGGCGGGGCCTGGAGCATCACTACCTGCGGGTGGCCGTGTTGGCCCTGGTGGTGGGGTCCCTGCATGGCCCCTTGGACGTGAGCCTACGGAGAGGGACCAGGGACATTTAGGTTTAGGTGTATTTGAACATCTTGGTACATACGCAGAAATATACATAAAATGTGTCACACAATATATAAAACACAGGTATAACGACATGATTTGCCTAAATATAAACATTAGGACATTGTTCTTACAATCACTCTAAATTTCTTATTGATGGACAGTTATGCTTTTTCATTTTAGTCATTTAGCAGACTAATCCAGAGCGATTTACAGGAGCAATTAGGGTTGAGTGCCTTGCTTAAAGAAACAGCGACAGTTTTTTACCTAGTGGGCTCTGGGATTCGAACCAGCTACCTTTCAATTACTGGACCAACGACCACCTGCCACCCTTTTTGAATGGAATTGAGTGTAATTCTTTTCACTCCTTCCAAAAGGTGTTTACTTTACTAATCTGGCATTAGAGAATATATTTTTGAAGGCTTCGAATAGATACGCAATAGAGCCAGGAAAAGACGGATATCTGTTTGCGGGTTGGCCAATTTCAATTATGAAAGACTTGAGAAAAGTGAGGAATTCCTGATAAGATCAACAACATTATTATCTCTGCTTACAGTCATAACCAGGGTTGTGTGAAAAATGAAATAAATATGGACTTTTCCAATAAGGCACATTTTCATTTTATTTATCAAATTTTTAAAAAAAATGTACACTAATGAACAGGACCCAGAGTAACTCCAGCAGTGTTAATGTACCTGTGTTATCTGCCCCAGACTGGCGTACGTGTGCGGGATTCCCTGGTGGCCATGCAGGCTGTAGCCCTGAAGGGGGTACGAGCCCTGGGGCGACGTGTGTCCGGGGGGCATGTTAGGGGGGGTGGGGGCCGAGAGGGACCCGGAGTGATATAGAGACTGGGGCTGGGGTCCCGACTGGGCAGAGATAGAGAAGGAAATCATTAGCATAGGATAAACTTAGAGAAGACATAACATAGAATGTCAGGGGAGAATAAAAGCTCAGACTCAGCGATATGACATGACCACGAGTAGTGGTGTGAAACAAAGATATTGCAGATTGTGATAGCTGTGTGACAACAACTGTTGAGAAGATTAATCTCTTGCTTCACGCTCTTTGTATTGAAAGTCAGCCCACTTCCTATCGCTGTCTGAGTATACCTTTAACATACACCTTCAAAATGCCCAACAATGCTGTATGTCGATAAAAAACGTGATCAAGATAAAAAGGGGTATGTTCTAGAACTGGTATGTGGTCAGGAGAGGGATGGTGAGATTTGAAGCTGGGATGCGGGGTGTTGGTCTTACCTGTCCAGGGCTGGGGGCGTGCTGCTGAGGGGGGGGCTGGTTACACGTAGGGGTGCTGGAGGGCTGGGGCTGATGCACTGCACCTTGGTGATGGGAAAACGACTGGGGGGCTAGAGAGGGGTGAGAAAGAGAGCAGAAAAACAATCAGATTTCAGAAAATATTATTTGGCTGAAGACACTTTCCGTATTACACTCATGTTTTATTATAAATTCCCCAAAACAATGATCCAGTAGCCTGGTACAAGATCTGTTTGTGCTGCATACACTCCTATGGTCGTTGGTTGGCTATACAGCACAAACAGCAAACAGATCTTGGACTAGGCTACCCTCAAAACAATGATCCAGTCCAAATTCAGGATCCAACCAGTGTTGTTGCCTTTGAGTTTTGGACTCACCATAGATACCCTGCTGTGGCACCTGAGGCCCCTCACCTTGGCCGGGGAACTGGGGGCCCCCTGGAGGGCCCATGGCCTGGGGGTGACTTCCTCCCTGGCCCAACATCCTGGCACCGCCCTGCAGCATGGAGTACATCGGCTGGGGAAGGGAGAGAGGGTGAGATACATAGAGAAAGACAGACATTGTTTTCAGTATCTGACTGCTACAGTTATGACGACCAAAACTGGATAGAGATTTATCACCACGAAGGCAAAGGGAGGCCGTTCAATTCAAAACTCTGGGGATAGGAAATTGAGGTCTATCCCCTGCCCCCCGCCCCCACACAGTACAGCCACGCACAAACACACTTTCCCACCCACACACTGACCTGTCCGGAGTAAGGCGTCATGGCCTGGATGACCTGCTGCTGGCTGTACTGCAGGTAGGACTGGGGGTAGGGTGACGGCACCAGGGGGGCTCCGGCTGCAGACGCCGCCACCTGTAGCATGGCCTGCGGCGGGCCCGAGTTGCCATGGTCCGAGCGGAGGGCCCCCACCACTGAGCCTGGGGGAGACCAAAACATGACTGCATAACAACGTTGACAGGGAGGGGAACTCGCTCACAGTCACATAGACCACACTGCCCGAAATGACGCACTAGTAGTTATGAACATGCTTTAAAAAGAACAATACAGAACTGAATTGATCCCCAGGGGGATATTAAGTCACATGCTTACGATTTAAAGTTGGTTTTGCCCGACACTCAACTTTACTGTAGAACTACAACAGTTTGCCATGCATTACTAGATAAAGAAGTTTGAATACAAAGAAGTAGTAATAATAATAATATGTATTAGTAAGGTAAGTAAGATGTGTTATATATATAGCTTGGTCATAGATGTGTTTGTAATGTCTTGCCAACTCCACTTGATACTGACCATAGTAGTTGGCCAGACAGCACAAACAGATCTGGGATCAGCTAGAGTATGTCAAGGTGTAAACAATGCATGCACACTGGTAGAGAGTCGGAGAAGAGGCGTGCAGAGAGCGTGTACCTTTGGCTCGGGGGTATTTCCCCTGGCTGACTGTAGACATGGTATACTGGTACATCTGTGGCGGCTGGAGGGAAACAGAAACCAGGAGACAAGAGGTCAACACAAAGCTACAAGCCACATTGGCTTTTCAATGAGGGGATATAGGCAATTTTAACATTAACTAATACTAGACCCTAAACTGCGCTCAAACAATAGCATAACACTGTATATAGTCACACACTACATCACTACTGGCGAAACTCAAGTATAGTATTGACTATAATATTACCAATAATCCCAAAGCCTCACATTCATAGGGACTAACTTTTCAGACAAACAGGGGGAGGAGCAGTATTTGATGGGGAAACAGAATGCCCCACAGCATGCAGTCAATTCAATCAAAGTGTCAGTGTAAGAAGTGTCTTGTGTGTGTGGGTTACCTGTACAGTTTGGATCTGTGTGTGTGTGTGTGTGTGTGTGTTACCTGTACAGAGTGGATCTGGGAGACGTAGGAGAGGTAGGGGGCGTTGTAGATGGGACCCTGGCTGCCTGGGTGCTGCAGCACCACCGCGTTGCTGGGAGGGGGTTGCCGAGGGGGCGTGGGTGAAGGGTTGGGCTTAGTCTGCAGAAACAGAGGGAAGGGGAACAACCATTTATATCAGTTTTGTAAGTAGATGTCTAGGCAGTGTTTGGTACACTCCAGGGTGAAGTTTCCCCTAGATACAGATAAGATCAGCTTCCCCTCCCCCAATCTAGGGATGGGCACGGTTATTTGAATATTCGATATCTCCCCGAAATTAATGACATTATTTGAATATTGAAATTATTTCAAATGCCCATCCCTTCCCCAATCCTAAACCATTAGTGCGGAAAATCCAAAACGGACACAAAAATCAGCATCTAGAGGCAACTATACCCTACACCAGGGATGGGAAAATATTATTATTTAAAAAATTGGGAACTCGGGGTCTCAACTTACTGTTGAGAGTCAGAATAGTAGAATACACACGGTGAATTTTATTTATTTTTTGCATCAGCAGTTTCTCTTATGTCAGACAGTAGCTAGGTTTTCATCCAATTTGCGACAGATTTTCATGCAAAGTCTAAAATCTGCATAAAATAATATGCGCATTTCCCCAACAGAGATGTGTTTCCATCAAACTGACTTATTGCGGATAAAAGTCTGTGCGAGATGACGTCGCACACATAAAAATAACGTTTGCTGTCAAATTCCCATGTACCGAATGAAAAATACAAGTTAAATGGGTTTCCATCGCATTTTCAACTCTACTGATGGTTTTGTCACAAAAGCTGATGCGTTATATAGCAAATGTGCCTACTCTGGTCTTGGCACGTGCGCTCTAGCAAACAGCTCGCAGATACAGTGGGGTTAGACCATCTACAGTGCCGTGAAAAAGTATTTGCTCCCTTTATGATTTTCTCTATTTTGGCATATTTTTTATACTGAATGTTATCAGATCTTCAACCAAAACCTAATATGCAGTGTTTGGTTTTCGCCAGACATAAAATGGGACCCATCTCGTCCAAAAAGTTGACTCAAGTTTGCCGAAAGCACCTGGATGATCATCAAGACTCTTAGAAGAATGTTCTATGGACAGATGAGTCAAAAGTATAACTTTTTGGACGACATGGGTCCCATTACGCCTGGCGAAAACCAAACATTCCACAGTAAGAACCTTATACCAATGGTAAATAATAATAATATAATATGCCATTTAGCAGACGCTTTTATCCAAAGCGACTTACAGTCATGCGTGCATACATTTTTGTGTATGGGTGGTCCCGGGGATCGAACCCACTACCTTGGCGTTACAAGCGCCATGCTCTACCAGCTGAGCTACAGAGGACCACCCATAAAGCATGGTTGTGGTAGTGTGATGGTTTGGGGATGCTTTGCTGCCTCAGGACCTGGATGCCTTAATAGAAGGAACCATAAATTCTGCTCTGTATCAGAGAATTCTACAGGAGAATGTCAGGCCATCCGTCTGTGAGCTGAAGCGCAGCTGGGTCATGCAGCAAGACAATGATCCAAAACACACAATCAAGTCTACATAAAAATGGTTAAAAAGCAACACATTTTAAGTTTTGGAATGGCCTAGTTAAAGTCCAGACCTAATCCCAATTTAGATATTGTGGCAGGACTTGAAACGAGCAGTTCATGCTTGAAAACCCACAAATGTTGCCGATGTTAAAGCAGTTCTGCATGGAAGAGTGGGCCAAAATTCCTCCACAGTGATGTGAGAGATTGATCAACAACTACAGGAAGCGTTTGGTTGGAGTCATTGCAGCTAAAGGTGGTACAACCAGTTAATGAGTGTAAGGGTGCAATACCTTTTCACACAGGGGAATTGGGTGTTGCAGAAATGTGTTAATTAAATAAATAAAATAAGTATCAATTGTTTTTGTTATTTGTAAACTCAGGTTCCCTTTATCTAATATTATGTTTTGGTTGAAGATCTGATAACATTCAGTATAAAAAAATATGCAATACTAGAGAAAATTAGAAAGGGGGCAAATACTTTTTCACAGCACTGTACATTATGAGATTATTCAAATCAAATCACATTTTATTTGTCACATACACGTGTTTAGCAGATGTTATTGCGGGTGTAGCGAAATGCTTGTATTATGGATAAGAGCGATATTATTTTTACTTGTCAAACGGCAGCGAAGCATCGATCATCATGTCACAAGAATAAGACCCTCGATATTTATTGGAAAGGAACATCAAGCACATCACGTGCAATTTCACCACCCTGTGAAGTTCATCATAACGAACAAATTCTCTGTCGGCATTTATCAAATTGAACTGGCATATCTTTTTTCCCCATCTGCCCGGCCGTGACTCACGCATCAGGTAAATCATCTGCATGAAATGGTTAGAAACTCAAAAAATGCAAAACATTTCTAAAATCTAAATTTCACTTAGGGCCCTCAAAAAAGGCTGACTGCATGTGTTGGTAAGCAGACCCGCGAGCCACTGCGGCCCCTCATAATGAGTTCAGTTTCTTTTGTGGCCTTCACCCCCATCAAAGTTGCCCATCCCTGCCCTACACGTTGGTGCGTAGACCTGTAGACATCGTTTGGTACGTAGACCTCTAGACATCGTTTGGTAAGTAGACGTCTAGACATTGTTTGGTACGTAGACGTCAAGACATCGTTTGGTACATAGGCGCGTCTAGACAGTGTTTGGTAGTATAGATACAGTAGATAGATGATAGATAGCAGACGCTTTTAACCAAAGCGACTTACAGTCATGTGTGCAAGCACCATGCTCTACCAACTGAGCCACATGTCAAGACATATCAAGACATTGTTTGGTTAGTAGACATGTCAAGACATTTTAGATCCTAATTATCTTGCTCTTCTTGACGTGGTATTACACATTCTTGCTTACCAGAGTGAGTGCGATTTTGTTGGGGTTGAACTCTTTGGCGTTGGGATTCAGAGTTGACTTCTTGACTTCACTGAGAGAGGACACTGTTAGTACTGTATACACAATGATATCCACTGCTTTGTAACCAAATCCATCTATAAACCAGAAAGTAGTGCTGAGCGATTTTAGCTTTTTGGAGGTAGGTTCGGTTTCGATTCTTTTATTTTTTATCATCACGGTTTTCGATTTAGGCTTAGATTATTTTAAACATTAAATGCACTATGGTGAGTTGAATGCTTTAACAGAATAAAACAATTATTAAAAGTCCCATGATGGTAGTGACTGCTCATTAACACTTATTAACCATAATATATTCACATTACTTCAATAAAATATTTCAGTTGTGTATATTATTATATTTGTTTTATTTGATTACTTTATTATTTAATTCTAATTTCTATAGAGCTGCTGTCTATACTGTGACAAAATCCCAATTTTAGTAGTTCTTCAAAGTAAATAAGGCATACTTATGACTGCTAAATACCAACTATCGATCATTAGATTATGTATTTTCAGGTAGAGATACCTCGTGAAGCAACTGCTCTCTATCCCTCTGGATAGCACGTCTCCTTTCTCTTCTCTCCCTTTCAGTGTCTGGACAAGTAGACGCGCAATTGATTATGGTCAATGCGCTAAACTATGTAGAATATTGGCCTGTTGGGAACTACAACTCCCTACTACATTGCACAGTTTGGGCTTGATCTGATTCATCTCTAGAGAAACAAACGAAATGGAATTCTAATAATTGAACCGATGTTGGTCAATTTGTTGTTTAAAAAATGAAAAATAACCAACATTTTGGTTAATCGCTCAGCACTACCAGAAAGAAATCCCCTTTCCGTCTTCCGCAAAACTCACTCAATCACACCCTCCACTCGATCCACCTTCTCCTGTCTGGACTCCTCACTTCCTGGGGTCCTGGCGGACTGGGATTGTCCTGGCGATTGCCTGTCTGAAATGGGGCCAGCGGTGGTGGCGGCTGTACTGGTGGTGGCGGCTGCGCTGGCACTGGGCTCCTTGGCGGGGTCCCCTGAGGGGGAAGCGGTGGGCTGGGAGGGACTTTGGGGGGCGAAGGTCTGTTTGGAGTCTGAGGAGGCGGGGCTGGCGTCCGAGGGAGAGGGCTTGGCCGTGTCGGAGGGAGATACCGCTGCAGCACTGGAGCCACATCCGCTGGGCTGAAGCTGAGGAGAATCACAAATCAATATTTATTTATACAGCACAATTCATATGAAGCAACTGCATCCCAATGCACTCTATGCTAAAAATAAAGAAACACGAGGGAAATAAAATGACAAGGAGTATGAAACTTTAGTAAGGGGTGCTAGACCGCTTGCATTTCTCAAAACACATTTCCAAGTTAATTTAAAAATACATGCTTAAAAGGGTCAAACAGTTGACGGTTGATACTAAGCCATCCATTTTCAGAATTCTTTATAAACAAGAAATGCAAGTAATTTATTTCCGACTACTTATAGAAGTTCCCATCTGTCCAACTTGGTCCTGCTCCTGAAATACCACCAGCTCAGGACTTGACAGAACAAATCTTCTCATCAAGAGAATTTAGCTGAGGAGAAGCGACAGAAGTCTTACCCTGAATTCTTTGCCGAATTTCCGCAGCTCTTCAATTTGTGACCTTTGCTGAATGGAGGGGGCTGAGAGGAAAGGGAGAGAGAAAGGGTACAAAAGAGTCAACTTCATTACAAGTTCTCAAGCAGGATAGAAAGTGATGTGGCTGTTTTTGGCTGCACTTTTCTTTCAGACAGCACCTTATGGCAAACAAATGCTTTTCTACAGGGATACTCTTCTCATCTACGACAACAGTTGACTGACTCACTAACATGCACACACTAACACGCGCACATTTTTTGAGCCGAGACACACCGTGACGACAAACCGTTAAAAGTAAGGGGTGGCCACTAGCCATCCTACCAACCAGAATATCTGCCGTCATTTTCTGTTAATTTCCCAACGGTGTCTACATGTTGAATCAGCGCAAACAGTCACCGTTCAGCGACACCCAGCAGGTGCTTTAGCCATTCGTTGTCGAGGTGTGTCTGACCTCTAATACACACAAACTCCCTCCCAAAAACACAAATTACACCCACAGAGACACACCTTTATTCTTGCCATCCTCCGTGCTGCCTGGACTCTCTGCTGATCGCTCTTTGGCAGCCGTGCAGAGAATCTCGTTCACTGTAGAACAGACAGACGGAATGAGAGATAGAGAAAAACACACAGGGGACCAATTAGCCACTGGAAAACCCCAACCACTTGAACAGATTCCCACAAAACACCTGTCTGGTTATTGTACAGGTGACCCTGTCCTGATGACAGTTGGGCCCTTTTCATTACCTAATATAGACTCAGTAAGTAATGTGAAAAAAAATGGAGACCGGACGTGGAAGATGTAGTTGTGCTTTCAGCCAAATGTATGAAAGTCGGTTTTATAAATACTTATTATCATTAGCAATTTCATTGTCATCACTACTACTCAACAACCAAAACCTGTCTCCACTTGTTTATAAATATAGTTTGTTGATTGTTGTCATTGTTCGTACCATCTATGGGGAAGAGCGGGGCGGGGCCTGATGTTTTCTGGGCGGGCATGGAGAAGGATGACGTGTCCAGGTACTGCACTGAGTCCTGCGAGTCAGATTTCGGGGAGCGGGAGGCTGATGGAGGACGAGACAGAACAGAGGTCAGAGTGGAAGACAATGAGTCGTTATGAATGGTTAGAATTTTTGGCTGTGTCTGAAATGGCACCCTGTTCCCTTTAAAGTGCACTACTTTGTGCCCTGGCACCCTATTCCCTATGTAGGGACAAAAGTAGTGCACTATATATATAGGGAATAGTGTGCCATATCAGACGCACATGAAATGTGAGTTAGTAGTTAGTTTACTAACCAACATCAACCATTAGTAGCAATTTTCATTGGACTTAGTCTATGATGAGGCAGAATGTCTGTGTCTTGAGTTCTGGAGTGTGTCTTGAACAAGTGTGTAAACAAAGTGTGAGATAAAAGGCATAGTTGTATGTTAACCTGTGGACTGTGTGTGTGAGTTAGGTGTCCGGACCGGTCGGTTTGACTGGGCGGGTCTCTGTGATTTGGGGGACAACCTGGAAGACACTGGGGCAGGGAAAAGGAAGAGAGGAGGTTCAATTTCCCTACAATTAACTGACAATATATTATTGGAAGCTTCACCTATTACTTTTCAAGACTGCACACACAGTGCAAACTTAAGTTATAAGGCCCGAGGAGGACACAGCCCTTGGCCATATATCACAAACCCCTGAGGTGACTTATTGCTATTATAAACTGGTTACCAACGTAATTAGAGCAGCCAATCAGCATTCAGGGCTAGAACCCCCCAGTTTATAAAAACAAATAATTCATGACTGCCATGTATGCTTTCTGGTGTAACACATCCACGTAGGCACACAGACATCCCATTACAACACAGATAACTCCCCAAACACACAGCAATATTTTCACTCACCTCCGTTGACGGGCCTACCAGTGTCCGACAGCGAGTTGGAATGGGGGGTGGGGGGACTAGCTGAAGTGGGGGCGGCGTTGGCTGAGGCCAGACCCCCGGGGGAGGTAGGGGCGTAGGGGCTGGCGGTGCCAGGGCAGCCCTGGGGGTGGTGGGGGGAGTAACCTCTACCAGAGAGGGGGCTGCTGCACTCCGAGGAGGGGGGAGGGGGCTGGGGGCCGCCGGTGGCAAAGGGCAGGGGAGGTCTGGGGGAGGAAGAGGAGGGAATGGCAGAGCGGTAGCTCATGCGGTTGTGACCTTGGGGTCCGCCGCTTCCTCCTCCAGGGCCTCGCTCTGCCCGCCCGCGTTCTCCTCTCATGCTGCCCCCCGACACGCCCATCTCCCTCGCTCGCTGGGGTAACGAAATGTATTTGCCTTCCCTGAGAGAGTGAGAAACAGAAAGAGTGAAAGGGGGGGGGCGGGGTACCATGGGAACATGCCTAATACTGTATATCATGCTTTTCCCAATCTGACCATCCACTGCTGCCAAAGCACTAAGACTTCCAGCATGATCAGGGGATCAGTTTGAGCAAGGTGAGGCGCAGAATCACTAATCTTGATCACATAATGAGTAGTTAATTGGGATGCCAGTTGATTTGTAGAGCAGCGATTCTACTCAGTCCGACTGAAATGTGGTCCATCTCAAATACACAAATCACTTAGCAGTAGCCAATAGTGACACCCCCCCACACACTAGCCAAAGGCTATATCGCAATTCTCCACCCTTCTCTCCAAGTGTGCACTTTTTCACTCACCATTGTGTATTTAAAAACATTAAATAATTGGCTAGAAATAGTTAATTTCCACCATTGTTGAATCCATGAAGTGCACACTTCTGGAAAAGGGTGGTGAATTGTGACATAGCCAAAGAATACAGCCTGACCGGAGCACTCACCTGCTGACTATGCCGGGGCTGTCGCAGCCCTTCTCCCTGGGGCTCTCCCTCCCCCGCTCCCCCCCCTCCCGCTCGCCACCGCGCACCACAGCGCTGTACTTGTCCTCCTCGCTCTTGCCCTCCCCGTTCTCCAGCAAGACGCGGTGGCGGTACTGGGGGCTGGACTCGATCTCACTAGCCATGCGGGCGGCACGCGCCTCCCGCTGCCGGAAGCCCTCCGTGCTGTCCCTCTCCAGATGGACCCTGAAGGACAGGGAGGGAGACAGAGAGAGAAAAGAAGAGAGAGATTGTGAACATCAACACTATGCATACACTACCGTTCAAAGGTTTGGGGTCACTTAGAAATGTCCTTGTTTTTTAAAGAAAAGCAATTTTTTTGTGTAGACATTAATGTTGTAAATGGCTATTATAGCTGGAAACGGCTGATTTTTTTATGGAATATCTACATAGGCGTAGAGAGGCCCATTATCAGCAACCATCAGTCCTGTGTTCCAATAGCACGTTGTGTTTGCTAATCCAAGTTTATCATTTTAAAAGGCTAATTGATCATTAGAAAACCCTTTTGCAATTATGTTAGCACAGCTGAAAACTGTTGTGCTGATTAAAGAAGCAATAAAACTGGCCTTCTTGAGACTAGTTGAGTATCTGGAGCATAAGCAATTTTGGGTTTGATTACAGGCTCAAAATGGCCAGAAACAAATAACTTTTCCAGCTACAATAGCCATTTACAACATTAACAATGTCTACACTGTATTTCTGATCAATTTGATGTTATTTTAATGTACAAATAAATTGTTTTTCTTTCGAAAACAAGGACATTTCTAAGTGACCCCTAACTTTTGAACAAGTAGTGTACATACAAACAATCATGTATGAAGATCAGATCTGGGTTCAAATACTTTGTGATTGCTCAAGTGTGCCTGGAGTGCCAGATGGGAGAGATTTGCAGTTTTGGGACTTCTCTATTGGTTTATTAAGCCAGGCATGCTCAAACAGGCACAGATTAAGTATTTGAAATGATCTTTCAAGTATTTTAAACCCAGCTCTGATAGAGATTCAGGGGCATATTAATTTCAAAAGGTTGACTCTGTTTAGGCCTTGAAGACCTTGAAGGTTTATTGGTTTGTGTGTTGACATGGAGGTGGACTTACGTGTACATTGAGAGGCTGGAGTCGTAGGTAGACTCGACGCCGAAGTTCACCTTGTTGTAATGAAACATTTCGTTGGCATCCCAACCGTTGGACTGAGAGGGAGCGAGAAAACTTTGTGAGTAAGTTGCCAAAGCGTGTGGCGGTAAGAAGCTCCAGGTTGTGTGCATCAATGGAGCTCCTCGGAGGAGGAAGGGGAGGACCATCCTCCTCAGTAAATTTGATAAAACTACACTAAATATATTCATATTGCCAAATAATTATAACACACTGTTTTGCAATGAAGGTCTACAGTAGCCTCAACAGCACTCTCTGGGGTAGCACCATGGTGTAGCCGGAGGACAGCTAGTTTCCGTCCTCCTCTGGGTACACGGACTTCAATACAATACATAGGACGCTCATGGTTCTCACCCCCTTCAATAATTATGACAACTTCTGGAGGCTGTCCTCCAACCTATCAGAACTCTTGCAGCATGAACTTACATCTTGTCCATCTAATCAAAAGGATCAGAGAATTATGCATACAATGTGGTGAGTAGTTGACTCAAAGAGAAAGACAATAGTTGAACTGTTTTGAACAAATTAATTTCCTCAAAAATGAAGGAGGAGAGAGACCGAGAGAGAGCTAGCTATATTTCGTTTTATTTTTATAATTTTTTTCACTTGCTTAACTAGCGAAGGCAGCTAGCTAGTTTAGCCTACTCAAACAGAGAGGGATACTATGTAAACTAGCTGGCTATCCAACACTGGAACTCTTCCGAGTCAAGGTAAGCGTTTGGTTTTATTAACTTATTGCCACCAGAGCCCGCCGGTGTAACTGCTAAACTGCTTGCTGTACTGCATCATTGTAGCGGGTTTACTAACACGTTAGTTCTAGTAGCTATGTTGACAACGATGTAGGCAGTGTGTAGCGGTTATGGTATGAAGGTTTGGCTTGGAAAGGTTCTCTCGCCTGGTCACAGATAGCTGTTGTGCATTGAAATCCACAAGCGAAGGGAAAAGGTGAGAGGAGGAGAGCACGTAGATGCGAGAAGGAATTATACAACGAACAAAGTGATCATGCGGTTTGTATATGGCAGCTATGAAAGTGAACTGTGTTTGCGGGTGATCAGGGGTGTATTCATTCCGCCGATTCTGTTGAAAAACGTTTCTTAAACAGAACGAAACGGGGATAAACATAACTGAATTTGTCCAATAGAAACTCTCATTTGCAACTGTTGGACTAATGATTACACCCTAGATCAGCTAGATGCAGGCAAGAGTGTTCAAGGTAGGTGGGGGCGGTCCATCCTGTATAAACACGAACTCACTTCCTTGACAACTTCCTACACAATAACTCTGCTCTGCACCGCTAAGCACAAGAAGTATGAAAGCCCTGAAGTCTGGATCTCAGTAAATGCTGTACGGCCACTTCAGACCGCGCAGAGCCTTTCAGCCTACCTATTGTATTAAAAGCACATATTTTTTGGATTATTCACACACTCAGAATTCACTGCTTCAACTTCAGTAGCCTACCTCTCCTCTCCTAGTTGGGCGTGCGAGTTCATGGGCGGAGAATCACGTGGCAGTTAATTTCATATCAAGTTAACTTAAATATGATTACACTGTATCATCAAGAACTTCAAGGAGAGAGGTTCAATTGTTGTGAAGGCGTCAGGGCGCCCAAGAAAGTCCAGCAAGCGCCAGGACCGTCTCCTAAAGTTGATTCAGCTGCGAGATCGGGGCACCACCAGTGCAGAGCTTGCTCAGGAATGGCAGCAGGCAGGTGCGAGTGCATCTGCACGCACAGTGAGGCGAAGACTTTTGGAGGATGGCCTGGTGTCAAGAAGGGCAGCGAGGAAGCCACTTCTATCCAGGAAAAACATCAGATTGTTTGGGGCATCCGGAAAACACCTTGTCCGGAGAAGACAAGGTGAGCGCTACCATCAGTCCTGTGTCATGCCAACAGTAAAGCATCCTGAGACCATTCATGTGTGGGGTTGCTTCTCAGCCAAGGGAGTGGGCTCACTCACAATTTTGCCTAAGAACACAGACATGAATAAAGAATGGTACCAACACATCCTCCGAGAGCAACTTCTCCCAACCATCCAAGAACAGTTTGGTGACGAACAATGCCTTTTCCAGCATGATGGAGCATCTTGCCATAAGGCAAAAGTGATAACTAAGTGGCTCAGGGAACAAAACATTGACATTTTGGGTCCATGGCCAGGAAACTCCCCAGACCTTAATCCCATTGAGAACTTGTGGTCTATCCTCAAGAGGCAGGTGGACAAACAAAAACCCACAAATTCTGACAAACTCCAAGCATTGATTATGCAAGAATGGTGTGCCATCAGTCAGGATGTGGCCCAGAAGTTAATTGACAGCATGCCAGGGCGGATTGCAGAGGTCTTGAAAAAGAAGGGTCAACACTGCAAATATTGACTCTTTGCATAAACTTAATGTAATTGTCAATAAAAGCCTTTGACACTTATGGAATGCTTGTAATTATACTTCAGTATACCATAGTAACATCTGACAAAAATATCTCATAACACTGAAGCAGCGAACTTTGTGAAGACCGATACTTGTGTCATTCTCAAAACTTTTGACCACGACTGTAGTTTACTAAAGTGTCTGTAAATAAATATTGATAATGGAAAGAAGTGGAGGGCGCTCAACCAACGTGAGTCGAGGAGCAATTAGAAAATATAATCATTGAAAAGCGAGCGCTGCAACCTTTTCATTTTCAATAAGTATTGATTACCCATTTACTTGTCTCTGCCTGTAAATTGGCCTCCTAGAAGGTAGGCTATATTCTATACGCAAAATGTGTCGCTGTCATCATTCTTGCTGCTTCAAGTTCAGTAGCCATACGTGCGAGGTCCGGTGGGCGTGTGGTCTCAATTAAATAGAGTAGGCTTTAGCCTATGCATGGGCGGAGAAGCACGGGGCAGTTATCTTTCCAAGAAAATGTACTTCCTAAATATGATTAGGCTATAGTTTACCACATTGCCTAGAAATAAATATTGATCAACCATATTTCTCCGTCTTAAAATCTTCCCACTTCTAAAAGATAAGCTATAAAAATAGCTCAAGAGAAAGTGCAAGTCTCTCCAATCTAGCATATTGGCTGATATAGCCCAGTAATACAGATAGCCTAATATAAATGGGCCACGTGAGAATCTGATACTTTAACCTATCAAGTTATTTTTGTGCATTTGATATTGCCTACGGGGCGCAAAATTGCTGAGACCATGGCGGGCAAGTGAGCTGCGTCACATACGCCTAAAATAATATTGCTGGTTTGGAACCAGTTCTTGCGGTAGCGGGTGGGAGTCGGACAGAAAGGCAGCAGGTGCGGGCGGGGTGCGGTATGAAAAGCTGCGGGTGTGGGCGGGAGCAGGATGACGAAAACAGTCCTGTGCAGACCTCTACAAGGCAGTATTGAATGTGTCACTGTCACCTTGCTTACTCAAATTTCTCTCTTGACCTGTGCACCTACGTTGTAAACTTTCATTCGTAGGTTGTAGCAACCTCATGATGTGTACAGTACAGGGAAAATGTGAGTATCATGTGGTAGCCTAAACCTATCAATGTTACATTGAGCTGGGTGAATGGAATATGAATGATAGTCATCCAATATGCTGTAATAGAAATAAGGCCTCGCGCATAAAACATGTAATCGTCCTCCCTCATCTTAAAAGGCACAGACCGCCACTGGTGTGTGTGTGTGTGTGTGTCAAAAAGAGTGATGATGTGTGTGATTGTCAGAGTGAATGAGCGAGTATGAGCGTTTGTGTGTGTGCATACATATAAGAGTGTGTTAGACTCACAGCATCGTTCTCCAGATCGAAGGCCTCTCCGTTGCTATCACCTCCCTCCCACCTCTGCAGCACCTTCTCTTTGTGTTCCCCATTGACACGGGTCGAGCTGATGGCCGTGTCTATGAATGTGTCTGCACATACAGGGTAGAAACACAACCATTATCCAAAAAGTAATGCGTGAGACAGAGAAGAGGTATTGATCTTTATACGACCCATAGACTGTCCCCACAACGTGTGTTTATCGTAAGCAGACAACACATTACATTCTTACACAATATAACTATGACCCCATGCAAATTACCTTGACTTCTTATTAGTTTAGCACTCAGTTGTGCATTAGGATCTCAACGTGGAATTCTGCCTTTAAGGAATAATCCACTCAAAATCCCCTTTTATATTTTTTATTGGTACATTGTTGATACAGTCCCAAAAGGTTTCGCATGACAGCAATCATGTTTTCAAGATATAGGACTTTCAAAAAGCAAATTGCAACTTGCCACATCATCATGATGACGATGCATTTTGCATCATATGATGCATTTTTACAATTAGCTTTCTGAAAGTCCTATATCTTGAAAACATATGATTGCTGACATGCAAAACATTTTGGGACTCTATAGCTAGGTTTCCATCCAATTGGTGACAGATTTATGTGAATATTCTAAAAGAAACAGAAGTTCAATGTGATACCATTGCATTTTCTACTGATGGTTTGGTCACAAAAACTATTGCGATAAATAGCATACTTGTCCAATTTGGTTTTGCCGCATGCTCTGTACATTTTAGTCATTTAGCAGACGCTCTTATCCAGAGCGACTTCCAGTTAAGTGAGTGCATACATTTTCATACTGGCCCCCGTGGGAAATGAACCCACAACCCTGGCGTTGCAAGCGCCATGCTCTACCAACTGAGCTACAGGGGACTGTAGCCGATAGTTCGCTGATAAAGTGGACAGGGTAGGTTATATGATGATATGGATAAAAGCAAGATCATTTTTATGTGATAATTGGCAGCAAAGCACCAATCATGTCACCAGCATCATTCAAATAATAGCCTACCCTCTATATTTATTTGCATGGCGCTCATCACCGTGCACTTAACCACACTAAGTTATGAAGTTATGAAATAAGTTATGAAGTGCATAATAACTTATTCTAAATGCCTATGCTTTTCCATGTCGTGGTGGTGGTAGTAGTAGTACAACGTAACATATCATTGCGTGACATACAGTGGGGAGAACAAGTATTTGATACACTGCCGATTTTGCAGGTTTTCCTACTTACAAAGCATGTAGAGGTCTGTAATATTTATCATAGGTACACTTCAACTGTGAGAGACGGAATCTAAAACAAAAATCCAGAAAATCACATTGTATGATTTTTAAGTAATTAATTTGCATTTTATTGCATGACATAAGTATTTGATCACCTACCAACCAGTAAGAATTCCGTCTCTCACAGACCTGTTAGTTTTTCTTTAAGAAGCCCTCCTGTTCTCCACTCATTACCTGTATTAACTGCACCTGTTTGAACTCGTTACCTGTATAAAAGACACCTGTCCACACACTCAAAGACTCCAACCTCTCCACAATGGCCAAGAGCAGAGAGCTGTGTAAGGACATCAGGGATAAAATTGTAGACCTGCACAAGGCTGGGATGGGCTACAGGACAATAGGCAAGCAGCTTGGTGAGAAGGCAACAACTGTTGGCGCAATTATTAGAAAATGGAAGAAGTTCAAGATGATGGTCAATCACCCTCGGTCTGGGGCTCCATGCAAGATCTCACCTCGTGGGGCATCAATGATCATGAGGAAGGTGAGGGATCAGCCCAGAACTGCACGGCAGGACCTGGTCAATGACCTGAAGAGAGCTGGGACCACAGTCTCAAAGAAAACCATTAGTAACACACTACGCCGTCATGGATTAAAATCCTGCGGCGCACGCAAGGTCCCCCTGCTCAAGCCAGCGCATGTCCAGGCCCGTCTGAAGTTTGCCAATGACCATCTGGATGATCCAGAGGAGGAATGGGAGAAGGTCATGTGGTCTGATGAGACAAAAATAGAGCTTTTTGGTCTAAACTCCACTCGCCGTGTTTGGAGGAAGAAGAAGGGTGAGTACAACCCCAAGAACACCATCCCAACCGTGAAGCATGGAGGTGGAAACATCATTCTTTGGGGATGCTTTTCTGCAAAGGGGACAGGACGACTGCACCGTATTGAGGGGAGGATGGATGGGGCCATGTATCGCGAGATCTTGGTCAACAACCTCCTTCCCTCAGTAAGAGCATTGAAGATGGGTCGTGGCTGGGTCTTTCAGCATGACAATGACCTGAAACACACAGCCAGGGCAACTAAGGAGTGGCTCCGTAAGAAGCATCGCAAGGTCCTGGAGTGGCCTAGCCAGTCTCCAGACCTGAACCCAATAGAAAATCTTTGGAGGGAGCTGAAAGTCCGTATTGCCCAGCGACAGCCCCGAAACCTGAAGGATCTGGAGAAGGTCTGTATGGAGGAGTGGGCCAAAATCCCTGCTGCAGTGTGTGCAAACCTGGTCAAGACCTACAGGAAACGTATGATCTCTGTAATTGCAAACAAAGGTTTCTGTACCAAATATTAAGTTCTGCTTTTCTGATGTATCAAATACTTATGTCATGCAATAAAATGCAAATGAATTACTTAAAAATCATACAATGTGATTTTCTGGATTTTTGTTTTAGATTCCGTCTCTCACAGTTGAAGTGTACCTATGATAAAATGTACAGGCCTCTACATGCTTTGTAAGTAGGTAAACCTGCAAAATCGGCAGTGTATCAAATACTTGTTCTCCCCACTGTATCAAAAGCATGTCCACCGCAATTGTCGCATTATCTATTTCACCGGCAAAAAAATAATCCACTCGTCTAGCGTATTCTGATTTGTCGACATTAGGACATTTCACTGACAAATGTCCTGTTTCCATCAGGACTGTCATGACTTTTTATATGCGTCAGGAAATTCATCCAAATGAAATGGTTGGATGGAAACCTGGTTAATGTAACCATCGACAATGACCTACAAATGCATTAAACCACTCATCCCTTACCGGACAATGCAGACAATCTACACGTTGATCAACCACTAACCTATAACACAAACCTCCCTCTGTCCAACCCTCCCTATCTCACTTCTCCCTAGCTGTCGCAATTGCTTCAAAGTTCGTCCTTCTTCCTCTGCACTTGAGAAATGAAAACAATATGGTGTAAGATCATCATTAGGTTGGCTTTCACCTGGTCTGTTCTTACAGACCAGTGAAGATGAAGGAGAGGTGAGGGGATGACGGATTTTATACAATTGAGAAAAAGCACTCATCTGTACCTCTGGTGGCATAGTTTAGGTCCACGTCTCGGCAGGTCATGGTGACCACATCGTAGGGGCTGAAGATCATGGTGTCTGTGATCTGCTCCCTCCGGGGCTGGGCGGGCCACTCGTCTTCGCCTCGCTTGTGGACTGCGTCCACCGCCAGCTCACACTGCAGACAGAAGAACATTTAAGTCAGAGGGAAGTAGGATTGTCCCCGACACAAAAATTATCTTTAAATCGACCAAGAGTCGTCTGTTCTTTCGACTAATCGATTGGTTGACATTTTAAAACGTGTATTTTTCCATATATAGAAACACTCTGTGTTTAATTAAAAGACCTACACACAAAAAAAATATCTGTAGCTCAGCTGGTAGAGCACGGCGCTTGTAACGCCAAGGTAGTGGGTTCGATCCCCGGGACCACCCATACACAAAAAAATTTATGCACGCATGACTAAGTCGCTTTGGATAAAAGCGTCTGCTAAATGGCATATTATTATTATTGTTATTATTATACACTACCAGTCAAAGGTTAGGACACACCTACTCATTCAAGGGTTTTTCTTAATTTTTTTCCTATTTTAGAATAATAGTGAAGACATCAAAACTATGAAAAAACATATGGAATCATGTAGTAACCAAAAAAGTGTTAAACAAATCAAAAAAACATTTTATATTTGCGATTCTTCAAATAGCCACCCTTTGCCTTGATTACAGCTTTGGCATTCTCTCAACCAGCTTCATGAGGTAGTGCCTTCTTAAAAAGTTAACTTGTGGAATTTCTTTCCTTCTTAATTAATGCGTTTGAGCCAATCAGTTGTGTTGTGACAAGGTTGGGTGGGTATACAGAAGATAGCCGTATTTGGTAAAAGACCAAGTCCATATTATGGCAAGAACAGCTCAAATAAGGAAAGAGAAATGACAGTCCAACATTACTTTAAGACATGAAGGTCAGTCAATACGGACATTTTCAAGAACTTTGAAAGTTTCTTCAAGTGCAGTCGCAAAACCCATCAAGCGCTATGATGAAACTGGCTCTCACGAGGACCGCCACAGGAATGGAAGACCCAGTTACCTCTGCTGCAGAGGATAAATTCATTAGAGTTACCAGCCTCAGAAATTGCAGCCCAAATAAATGCTTCACAGAGTTCAAGTCACAGACGCATCTCAACATCAACTGTTCAGAGGAGACTGTGTGAAGCAGGCCTTCATAGTTGAATTGCTGCAAAGACACCACTACTAAAGGACACCAATAAGAAGAAGAGACCTGCTTGGGCCACGAAACCTGAGCAATGGACATTAGACCGGTGGAAATGTATCCTTTGGTCTGGAGTCCAAATTTGAGATTTTTTGTTCAAACCACTGTGTCTTTGTGAGATGCGGTGTGGGTGAACGGATGATCTCTCCATGTTTAGTTCCCACCGTAAAGCATGGAGGAGGTGGTGTTATGGTGCTTTGCTGGTGACACTGTCTGTGATTTATTTAGAATTCAAGGCACACTTGACACCAGAATGGCTACCACAGCATTCTGCAGCGATACACCATCCAATCTGGTTTGGGCTTAGTGGGACTATCATTTGTTTTTCAACAGGACAATGACCCAACACACCTCCAGGCTTTGTAAGGGCTATTTTACCAAGAAGGAGAGTGATGGAGTGCTGCATCAGATGACCTGGCCTCCACAATTCCCCGACCTCAACCCAATTGAGATGGTTTGGGATGAGTCGGACGGCAGAGTGAAGGAAAAGCAGCCAACAAGTGCTCAGCATATGTGGGAACTCCTTCAAGACTGTTGGAAAAGCATTCCTCATGAAGCTGGTTGAGAGAATGCCAAGAGTGTGCAAAGCTGTCATCAAGGCAAAGAGTGGCTATTTGAAGAATCTCAAATATAAAATATATTTTGATTTGTTTAACACTTTTTTGGTTACTATATGATTCCATATGTGTTATTTCATAGTTTTGATGTCTTCACTATTATTCTACAATGTAGAAAATAGTAAAAATAAAGAAAAACCCTTGAATGAGTAGGTGTCCAAACCTTTGAATGGTACTGTATATACACTACCGTTCAAAAGTTTGGGGTCACTTCGAAATGTCCTTGTTTGGACTGAGCAAGAGAACAAATACATTAGAGTGTTTAGTTTGAGAAACAGGCGCCTCACAGGTCCTCAACTGGCAGCTTCATTAAATAGTACCCGCAAAACACCAGTCTCAACGTCAACAGCGAAGAGGCGACTCCGGGATGCTGACCTTCTAGGCAGAGTTGCAAAGAAAAAGCCATATCTCAGACTGCCCAATAAAAAGAAAAGATTAAGATGGGCAGTCTGAGATGTGGCTTTTTCTTTGCACAATGTAGATGTCCTAACAGACTTGCCAAAACTATAGTTTGTTAACAAGACATTTGTGGAGTGGTTGAAAAACAAGTTTTAATGACTCCAACCTAAGTGTATGTAAACTTCCGACTTCAACTGTATATAAATAAATAAATAAATAAATAAAATGTGTTGGTCCCATGTTTCATGAGCTGAAATAACAGCTCCCAGGTCGCAATATGCAACAATTCAAAAGATTTGACTGATTTACAGTTCATAAGGAAATCAGTCAATTGACAATTAATTAGGCCCTAATCCAGGGTTCTTCAATTCCGGTCCTGGAGGGCCGAAACACTTCTGTTTTTTATTTCTACCTGGTTGTTAATTGCACTCACCTGGTGTCCCAGGTCTGAATTAGCCCCTGATTAGAAGGAGAGGATGAAAAACAGAGGTGTTTCGGCCCCCCAGGACCGGAATTGAAGAACCCTGCCCTAATCTATGGATTTCACATGACTGGGAATACAGATATGAATCTGTTGGTCGCAGATACCTTAAAGAAAAAATGTAGGAGAATGGATCAGAAAACCAGTGAGTATCTTGGTGTGACCACCATTTGCCTCATGCAGCGCGACATCTCCTTCGCATAGAGTTGATCAGGCTGTTGATTGTGGCCTGTAGAATGTTGTCCCACTGCTCTTCAATGGCTGTGTGAAGTTGGTGGATATTGGCGGGAACTAGAACACACTGTCGTACACATCGATCCAGAGCAGCCCAAGTGAGTATGCAAACAATGGAAGAACTGGACATTTTCAGCTTCCAGGAATTGTGTACAGATCCTTGCGACATGGGGCCATGATGAAACAAGAGGTGATAGCGGCGGATGAATGGCACGACAATGGGCCTTTCGTCACGGTATCTTTGTGCATTCAAATTCCCATCGATAAAATGTAATTGTGTTCGTTGCCCGAAGCTTATGCCTGCCCATACCATAACCCCACAATGGGGCACTCTGTTCACAACGTTGACATCAGCAAACCGCTCGCCCACACGACGCCTTACACGTGGTCTAAGGTTGTGAGGCCGGTTAGACGTACTGCCAAATTGTCTAAAACGACGTTGGAGGCGGCTTATGGTAGAAAAATGAACATTAAATTCTCTGGCAACAGCTCTGGTCGACATTCCTGCAGTCACCACCATGGCAATTGCACGCTCTCTCAAAACTTGAGACATCTGTGGCATTGTGCTGTGTGACAAAACTGCACATTTTAAAGTGGCCTTTTATTGTCCCCAGCACAAGGTGCACCTGTGTAATTATCATGCCATTTAATCAGCTTCTTGATATGCCACACCTGTCAGCTGGATGAATTATCTTGGCAAAGGGTGAATGCTCACTAACAGGGATGCAAAAACAATTGTGCACAGAATTTGAGATTAATAATATTTTTGTTTGTATGGAAATTGTCTGGGATATTGTGGGCCCTCAGAGTTTCCCGCGCTAGTGAGCTCAGGACAGACACAGCTGTAGTCTATTTGTGCAAGGGATAAGAAGTAATAAGGTATTTTATGAGATTTCCACTGGATAAGAGGATTCTTTTATATATTTCCAGCTCTTTCCCTTTCGAGTGGTTATCGAAAAATATTGTTTTAATACATTGAGGAACCATTGTCATTCTCAAAGTATTCTAAAAACAGACTTCCTTGTTTTAAAAAAATATATAAAATAAGACTTCCTTTACTTGCTGTGTGACGTGAATAGAAAATTACTTTGAGAAGCTCCACAGCTCATTAGTGGTGGTGAGTTAAGACAATCAGAAATGCTATCAGACATCCACAAATGGGCACATTTATAGGCCTACATTTGCGCGCAGGCCAGGTAGCCTACCTCTATATTACTCAACATTGACAGGAGCGCTCCAAACAAAAGACAATGAATAAATTGACAAAACTCATAAATGGAATGAAATAAACCTAAACTTGTTTCTCACAAGTGTAGCATAGGTTATGAGCTCTGAAAATAACGTGTCCACTCTGACAATGAGAACGGTAAACGACTGTAATAATTATAATTTTAAACGCATTAACAGAAATTACCGTAACAAAACAAACATTGTAGATGAGAAATTATGGGAATTAACTGTAAATGTAGGCTACTACTGATGATACTGTATATGTAATGGGGAATTGATAGACACTAACAATCAAAGGGCAAACAATTTACACAGTGAAGTTATGAAAATACGAATGCACACGAAGTGGCGGGAAAGAGCCGTGCATCTTACCCACACTCCCCTTCTTCTTGGACCATGCCATCTACGCGGCCTCTGCAATGGATTAGTCCACTGAGACAGGCCCAAATAAGACAGGTGTCTCGTGTGTCATGAAAATGGTTATCTATAAATCTATTTGCGATTGCGACTGCTCTACTAAAATAATCTTGGTCGACCAACAGCCTATCTACCAAACAATTGATCAGTCGACTAAATGGGGTCAGCCCTAGAGGGAAGACAACCTTCTTTAGACCGCAAGGACTAGTAGAGACATCAGAGCCGCGAACACCAACCCTGGTCCCTGGTCAAGGAGAACTACAGGGTGTGGTTTGGATCTTTGAGGTTCTCATGTACTTACCCGTGAGCCGAGGGTCTTGAAGATGCCCTCGTACACATTGCCGTTCTTCACTCTTACATCACAGGTGGAGCCCTGTAAAGGAGGCAAAAAAGAGAGTGATGTGGAGAGAGGAATGAAGGCAGGAGAATAAGAGAAGAGGTAGGAGATAGTGTGTTAGATTTAAGAAAATACTATGATGAGCTATTTCAACAACATTATGGTTAGACGTGACAAGATGCTAAATGTCCGTGCAGACATAGCCCTGAAAATTGGCTGTAGACTCCATTGACACCAGAATTCTACAGCCATGTCTCAGGACTAAAACAGACAAAGAAACTGAGCAGTGGTAAAAATGACTCACCACCACAGCTGTGAGGAAATGTATCATTCTGGCATTGTTGTAGACGCCCTCAAACACCTAGGAAAGGGACCAGCACACACAGAGTCATTCACCTTGAAGGAGACTACAGCTATGTGCAGTATGGCCAATGATTCAGAAATCGACAACTATGTACACTAGCAGTCAAAAGTTTGTACACACCTACTCATTCAAGGTGTTCTTTATTTTTACTATTTTCTACATTGTAGAATAATAGTGAAGACATCAAAACTATGAAAAAACACATGGAATCATGTTAAACAAATGAAGATGTATTTTATATTTGAGATTATTCAAATAGCCACCCTTTGCCTTGATGACAGCTTTGCACACTATTGGCATTCTCTCAACCAGCTTCATGAGGTAGTCACCTGGAATGCATTTCAATTAACAGGTGTGCCTTCTTAAAGTTAATTTGTGGAATTTCTTTCATTCTTAATGCATCTGAGACAATCAATTTTGTTGTGACAAGGTAGGGGGGGGGGGGGGGGGGGGTATACAGAAGATAGCCCTATTTGGTAAAAGACCAAGTCCATATTATGGCAAAAACAGCTCAAATAAGCAAAGAGAAACGACAGTCCATCATTACTTTAAGACATAAAGGTCAGTCAATCCGGAAAATGTCAAGAACTTTGAAAGTTTCTTCAAGTGCAGTCGCAAAAACCCATCAAGCGCTATGATGAAACTGGCTCTCATGAGGACCGCCACAGGAAAGGAAGACCCAGTGTTACCTCTGCTGCAGAGGATAAGTTCATTAGAGATACCAGCCTCAGAAATTTCAGCCCAAATAAATGCTTCAGAGTCCAAGTCACAGACACATCTCAACATCAACTGTTCAGAGGGGACTGTGTGAATCAGGCCTTCATGGTCGAATTGCTGCAAAGAAACCACTACTAAAGGACACCAATAAGAAGAAGAGACCTGCTTGGGCCAAGAAACACGAGCAATGGACATTAGACCAGTGGAAATTTGTCCTTTGGTCTGGAGTCCAAATTGGAGACTTTTGGTTGCAACCGCTGTGTCTTTGTGAGACGCGTGTGGGTGAACAGATGATCTCTGCATGTGTATTTCCCACCGTAAAGTATGGAGGAGGAGGTGTTATGGTGTGGGGGTGCTTTGCTGGTGACACTGTGATTTATTTAGAATTCAAGGCACACTTAACCAGCATGGCTACCACATCATTCTGCAGCGATACGCCATCCCATCTGGTTTGGGCTTAGTGGGACTATCATTTGTTTTTCAACAGGACAATGACCCAACACACCTCCAGGCTGTGTCAGGGCTATTTTACCAAGAAGGAGAGTGATGGAGTGCTGCATCAGATGACCTGGCCTCCACAATCCCCCGACCTCAACCCAATTGAAATGGTTTGGGATGAGTCGGACGGCAGAGTGAAGGAAAAGCAGCCAACAAGTGCTCAGCATATGTGGGAACTCCTTCAAGACTGTTGGAAAATCATTCCTCATGAAGCTGGTTGAGAGAATGCCAAGAGTGTGCAAAGCTGTCATCAAGGCAAAGGGTGGCTATTTGAAGAATCTCAAATATAAAATACATTTTGCTTTGTTTAACGCTTTTTTTGTTACTATGTGTTATTTCATAGTTTTTAAGTCTTCACTATTATTCTGCAATGTAGAAAATAGTAAAAATAAAGAAAAACCTTTGAATGAGTAGGTGTCCAAACTTTTGACTGGTACTGTATGTGATCTTCAAATATCGAAGGACAAAAAATTACACCGCTTCACGTTTAAAACTGAGAACAGATGTTAATTGCGTGCCTATTTCTTAACTGATATAATACAACAGCTGAAGACATAACATACAAAAGTATTGAAAGGGGATGCATTTTAAAACGGAACTTGGGGGTAATAATTATGTAGGTCTATGGGGCTTTGGATTTGTTGTTCTACAACCTTTCAGTCATACTCACAGGAGAGGACAGGAAAGGTGGCTTCACAGAGGTTCGACTCCTGGGGGGAAAACGAGTACAATGGGGTTAGAACAGATTTGACATTGAACAAAAATGCAACGGTCCTTTCAGTATATGAAAGGCTGGTCCTACTATATACATTGCTATGACATTAGCACACCTAATGCAAACCACAAAAATGAGGAAAGTCACATTTCTAAATGTACTCCTACAAAAGGTATGCACTTGACAAAACTGTGAATGTAGAACTTGCTTGTTTAGCATTAAAATTGCAATACAAAGCAAAGGTTTGGTGACTAAACCAACCAGCTAACGTTAGACAACTTATTTCCTGACAAACCTAGCATGACAATTGGAAAATAGCGAGATAACCTTGTATACCTTTTCATCGGACAATCTCTGAATGAATTTATGACTCAGCGCTTGCTTTATTAGCAAAAAGTATGCAGTTAAAAATGATTTATTTTAGCTTCACTAAAAAAAAAATGCTTAGAGTCAACGCCCTCCTCCTCGGAAACAAAGTGAGTGGTTGGCAGAACGTTCAATATCCCATATTCTCCCGCCTTATTTGCTCAACAAAGCTTTCAAATTAAACTTTTTATCGTCTATTTGCCAAAACTCGGCCAGTCTTGATATGCAAACTCGGATTGGCTAGTATGTATGAAAGACCGTTCCCGCCACCCCCCAAAACAAATCTGACTAGGAGTTATGAGATAGCAAGTCATAATTATGAGATAGCAAGTCATAATTATGAGATAGCAAGTTATACTAATGGGATACTAAGCCATTATTATGAGATGGTAAGTAGAGCCCGACCAATATATTTGGCCGATATTATTTTTTCACATTTATATAATTTTTTATTCAACACATAAAGCGGCGATATTATATACATAGAATAAACAAATGTATACATCTGCTCATTTCTGGTCATTTTTATGATTTTTTCAACGGTTGTCTGAAGAGGGCGCTCTACGAGCTACTCATTGAACATCATATAGCTCGTAAGTCACGATGAGAGAGTGGACATTGTGGTTTGACGGTGAGTAGCTTGCAACAGCCAGCGTACTTGAATAAGTAAATAATCAAAAATACACATCACCAAGAAAGCAGCCCTGTCCTCATCACATTCTCAATTAGGAAGAATGGCGGAGGTGGTGATGGCTGCCATTTTACGGGCTCCAAACCAATTGTGCTATTGTGTGTGTTTTCTTGCATTGTTTGTAAATTATTTTGTACATAATGTTGATGCTACCGTCTCTTATGACCAAAAAGAGCTTCTGGATATCAGAACAGTGATTACTCACCTCGAACTGGACAAAGATTGTTTCTTTAATGAGTCGACGCAAAGGACATTATGTTGCTCCTGGACAAGGCCCAAATCCCCGTCATTCATATGAAGAAAATAAGGAAATATAGGGGGCGCAGATCAGTGTGCTTTGTGAGAATTAGTCGGCGGTAACCCGCCACTATCATCCGTTCTATTGGCCAACGTGCAATCACTGGAGAATAAACTGGATGAGCTCCATTCGAGACTATCCTACCAACGGGACATTCAAAACTGTAACATCTTATGTTTCACCGAGTCGTGGCTGAACGACGACACAGATAAGGACAGGACAGAACAGCTACGTCAGGTAAGACGGGGGTGGGGGTGTGTGTCTGTTTGTCAATAACAGCTGGTGCGCGATGTCTAATATTAAGGTAGTCTTGAGTTATTGCTCACCTGAGGTAGAGTACCTCATGATAAGCTGTAGACCACACTATCTACCAAGAGAGTTTTAATCTATATTTCTCGTAGCTGTCTATTTACCACCACAAACCGACGCTGGCACTAAGACCGCACTCAACTAGCTGTATAAGGCCATAAGCAAACAAGAAAATCCTCATCCAGAAGCGGCGCTCCTAGTGGCCGGGGACTTTAATGCAGACAAACTTAAATCCGTTTCACCTCATTTCTACCAGTATGTCACATGTTCAACCAGAGGAAAACAAAACTCTAGACCAACTTTACTCCACACACAGAGATGCATACAAAGCTCTCCCTCGCCCTCCATTTGGCAAATCTGACCATAATTCTATCCTCCTGATTCCGGCTTACAAGCAAAAACTAAAGCAGGACGTACCAGTGACTCGCTCAATACAGAAGTGGTCTGATGAAGCGGATGCTACAGGACTGTTTTGTAGCACAGACTGGTATATGTTCCGGGATTCATCCAATGGCATTGAGGAGTATACCACCTCAGTCACCGGCTTCATCAATAAGTGCATCGACGACGTCGTCCCCACAGTGACCGTACGTACATATCCCAACCAGAAGCCATGGATTACAGGCAACATCTGCACTGAGCTAAAGGCTAGAGCTAGCGATTTCAAGGAGTGGGACACTAATCCGGATGCTTATAAGAAATCTGCTATGCTCTCAGACGAACCATCAAACAGGCAAAGCGTCAATACAAGACAAAGATTGAATCCTACTACACCAGCTCTGATGCTCGTCGGATGTGGCAGGGCTTGCAAACTATTACAGACTACAAAGGGAAACCCAGCCGCGAGCTGCCCAGTGACGCGAGCCTACCAGATGGGCTAAATGCCTTTTATGTTAGCTTCAAGGCAAGCAACACTGAAGCATGCATGAGAGCACCAGCTGTTCCGGACGACTGTGTGATCACGCTCTCCATAGCCGATGTGAGCAAGACCTTTAAACAGGTCAGCATTCACAAGGCTGCGGGGCCAGACGGATTACCAGAACGTGTACTCAAGAGTATGCGAGGACCAACTGGCAAGTGTCTTCACTGACATTTTCAACCTATACCTAACCGAGTCTGTAATACCTACATGTTTCAAGCACACCACCATAGTCCCTGTGCCCAAGAAAGGGAAGGTAACCTGCCTAAATGACTACCGCCCTGTAGCACTCACGTCGGTAGCCATGAAGTGCTTTGAAAGGCTGGTCATGGCTCACATAAACACCATCATCCCGGAAACCCTAGACCCACTCCAATTCGCATACCGCCCCAACAGATCCACAGATGACGCAATCTCAAATCGCACTTCACACTGCCCTTTCCCACCTGAACAAAAGGAACACCTAATGTGAGAATGCTGTTCATTGACTACAGCTCAGCGTTCAACACCACAGTTCCCACAAAGCTCATCACTAAGCTAAGAACCCTGGGACTAAACACCTCCCTCTGCAACTGGATCCTGGACTTCCTGACGGGCAACCCCCAGGTGGTAAGGGTAGGCAACAACACATCTGCCATGCTGATCCTCAACACAGGGGCCCCTCAGGGGTGCGTGCTTAGTCCCCTCCTGTACTCCCTGTTCACCCACAACTGCGTGGCCAAGCACGACTCCAACACAATCATAAAGTTTGCTGGCAACACAACATGATCACCGACAATGATGAGACAACCTATAGGGAGGACGTCAGACACCTGGCAGTGTGGTGCCAGGACAACAACTTCACCCCTCAACGTGAGCAAGACAAAGGAGATGATTGTGAACTACAGGAAAAGGAGGGCTGAACACGCCCCAATTCACATCGACAGGGCTGTCGTGGAGCAGGTCGAGAGTTATGTTCCTTGGTGTCCACATCACCAACAATAGATTATGGTCCAACCACACCAAGAAAGTCGTGAAGAGGACACGACAACGCCTCAGGAGACCGAAAAGATTTGGCATGGGTCACCAGCTCCTCAAAAAGTTCTACAGCTGCACCATCGAGATTATCCTGACCGGTTGCATCACCGCCTGGTATGAAAACTGCTCGGAATTCTGACCGTAAGGCGCTACAGAGAGTAGTGCGTACGGCCCAATACAACACTGGAGCCTCGTTTCCTGCCATCCAGGACCTATATACTAGGCGGTATCAGAGGAAGACCCAAAAAATAGTCAAAGACCCCAGTCACCAAAGTCATAGACTGTTCTCTCTGCTACCGCAAGGCAAGCGGTACCGGAGCACCCAGTCTAGGTCCAAAAGGCTCCTTAAGAGCTTCTACCCCCAAGCCATAAGACTGCTGATCAATTAATAAAATGGCCACCTGGACTATTTGCATTAAGCCCCCCCCCTTTGTTTTTACACTGCTGCTACTTGCTGTTCATTATCTATGCAGTCACTTTCAACCTACCTACATGTACAAATTACCTCGATTAACCTGTACCCCCTCACATTGACTCGGTACCTGTACCCCCTGTATATAGCCTCATTACTGTCATTTTATTGTGCTACTTTTTTATGTAAAAATAAAGAAAAACCCTTGTCAGGATCGAGGGAAAGATGAACGGAGCAAAGTACAGAGAGATCCTTGACAAACAGGTGCTGTTAGATTACAATATTATTTTTCTGCCTGTTTGGAACAGTGTAAACACTAAATAAATTATAAGAAATACCAGTCTGTTCTAGTGATTTTTTTTTATAAAGCCTTTATTACAGCATAGCAAAGAATAAAAACAGCCAAATCTGTGATATTGCTTTATCCGACATTTTGCTATTGCATGAGGCTTGGTGCTCACGGAACCAGTAGACTATTAAACAAACACTCAAACAGGCAACTGAAGGAAGATCTGTCTTATTTCTGTAGATATGGATGATTTATAAAGGCAGGCACATTTAACAGTTACGCTATTGATTATAGAACTAATTAGGTTGGGATTTATGCTCTCTCCTCAATTTTCTTTGACAATTAGGCTAAGCCTTATTCGCACGGGACTAGTATTACTAGAAAACGTTGGTTATGTAATTATTACCCCAGAATGTCTGTTAATCCATAGGCCGATAAGGACAGGATTAGTTTTTTTCCCCAAACTGCCCCCTGTAATTTTATAAATTGACAGTTATGATGGAAGCCTGGATGTTTTTTTCTAGGCGTGAAGATATTTCAACAAGTCCAGGTGATAACAGGGCTACACTGATAACTAGAGCTTGATTCCCAAGATTCTAAACCATACAAAACCATCTTTAGTATAGTGTTGCCATAATATTCGAATTGAGGAAGTGTGCTCATAATCATTAGGATATTTTAGCGATCCACAGTAGACGTCCTAAATGCCCCCCAGCCTTCAGATGTGTGCTAAACTTGCACTTGAGATGCGTTTTAAGGCTATGGATGCGAAAGTGAATTTATCATTTCCAAACGTTTAGGTCAGTTGTATGCTGCTTTGCGATCTATTGACAGCAATGGTTACATTAAATAGGCGCAATGTTTTGCTGATGCATTTGGCAATATTCAATTCATATGCAAAAGCATTCACTGTGAAAGATGATACATGTAGGCCCTTCATATATAGGCTATGCGCAGCACTTTGTTCAATTTATCAAATCAGTTATTGTTCTTGCTCAAACCGTGAGCAACATCTGTCAAACTCAGATATTTCTCTCAAAACCCAGGGATGTTGATTCGCACGGGACTAGTATTATCAGAGGACTTTGGAGTTTGCCAAAAAAAAAGGTAGGTTATTCTGGCTAGAATTGTTACTCTCCTGCCATGTACAAAATTACTGACATGGCAGATTCGGACCGGACTAAAATCACAGATGTGGTGTTTTGTGCTTGTACACATAATTACATTACCCGACCACCCCCAATAAAAATAATCCTGTCCTAATAGGGTTTAAAGCAAGGGCTGTTTTCTCATCTCTGCTGCATCCGCCTCATTGTTCTCAATCCCAATATGCTGCTTAATTTTGCTACCATGCCCATAGCAACATAGGGAAAGGAGCCAAGATTGTTTCAGGACCGGGAACAGCAACCATATCCAGCGCGGGAGAAAGTTCATTTGTTATAAAATATTAGCAGATTTATTAGTGTTGCAACATTATTTTTACATAATATAACCATATACAATTTCAGTATAACATGTCTTAAGAGTGATGGACTGTGCCATCCCCGTGGCCTCCACAATGGATTAGTCCACTGAGACAGGCGCGAATTAGACAGGTGCCTTGTGCACCATGAAAAATGTGTTTTGCGACTGCTTGACTAAAGAAATCTCAGTCTACAACAGCCTATCGACCAAACAATCGACCAAATGGGGTCAGCCCTACTAGTTACAGTTTTGACTTAAACTGGCTTGAAGATCTATGGCAAGACTTGAAAATGGCTGTCTAGCAATGATCAACAACCAACTTGACAGAGCTTGAAGAATTCTTTAAAGAATAAATGTGCAAATATTGTACAATCCAGGTGTGCAAAGCTCTTAGAAACGTACCCAGAAAGACTCACAGCTGTAATCGCAGCCAAAGGTGATTCTATTCTAACATGTATTGACTTAGGGGTGTGAATACTTATGTAAATGAGATACATTACATAGCAAAAGTATGTGGACACCTGCTCGTCGAACATCTAATTCCAAAATCATTGGCATTAATATAGAGTTGGTCCCCCCCCTTTTCAGCTATAACAGCCTCCAATGTTCTGGAAAGGTTTTTCACTAGATGTTGGAACATTGCTGCGGGACTTGCTTCCATTCAGCCACAAGTGAGGTCGGGCACTGATGTTAGGCGATTAGGCCTGGCTCGCACTCAGCGTTCCAATTCATCCCAAAGGTGTTCGATGGGGTTGAGGTCAGGGCTCTGTGCAGGCCAGTCAAGTTCTTCCACACCATTTTTGTATGGAACTCGCTTTGTGCACAGGGGCATTGTCATGCTGAAACAGGAAAGGGCCTTCCCCAAACTGTTGCCACAAAGTTGGAAGCACTGAAACGTCTAGAATGTCATTGAATGCTGTAGCGTTAAGATTTCTCTTTACTGGCACTAAGGTGCCTAGCCCGAACCTTGATAAACAGCCCCAGACCATTATTTCTCCAACACCTAACTTTACAGTTGGCACTATGAATTCGGGCAGGTAGCGTTCTCCTGGCATCCGCCAAACCCAGATTCGTACATCGGACTGCCAGATGGTGAAACGTGATTCATCACTCCAGAGAATGCGTTTCTACTGCTCCAGAGTCCAATGGTGGCGAGCTTTACACCACTTCAGCCAACGCTTGACATTGTGCATGGTGATCGTAGGCTTGTGTGCGGCTGCTCGGCCATGGAAACCCATTTCATGAAGCTCCTGACGAACAGTTATTGTGCTGACATTACTTCCAGAGGCAGTTTGGAACTCAGTAGTGAGTGTTGCAACCGAGGACAGATGTATTTTACGCGCTACGCGCTTCAGCACTCGTTCTGTGAGCTTGTGTGGCCTACCACTTCGCGGCTGAGCCATTGTTCCTCCTAGACATTTCCACTTCACAATAACAACACTTACAGTTGACCGGGACAGCTCTAGCAGGGCAGAAATTTGACAAACTGACTTGTTGGAAAGGTGGCATCCTATGCAGTGCCACGTTGAAAGTCACTGAGCTCTTCAGTTCTACTGCCAATGTTTGTCTATGGCCATTGCTTGACTGTGTGATCGATTTTATACACCTGTCAGCAACGGGTGTGGCTGAAATAGCCAAATCCACTAATGTCAAGGGGTGTCCACATCCTTTTGGCCATGTAGTGTATTTCTGTATTTCAATTTCAATAAATTTGAAAACATTTCTAAAAACATGTTTTCACTTTGGCATTATGGGTTATTGTGTGTAGATGGGTGAGATATTTTTTTTTAAATTCATTTTGAATTCAGGCTGTAACGCAACAAAATGTGGAATAAGTCAATGGGTTTGAATACTTTCTGAAGGTACTGTAGTTGCTTTTTGGTGGTTTTCTTAAATGTTAATTTTAATATAATTTAGAGTATCTGTTAATAATTACATTGTTTACAAACAATGGACTAAAACAAGCTTATATGTTGGGTTCTGATGGGGTAAGACCATTGCTCATGAGGCATTTCTAAGTTACACATTCTTCAATATGAAAGCCTATGGAAGTCCGTTCCTGCCCACCCCCCAAAAACATTGATGTCACCAAGTGCAATATAACTTCAGCCTGTAAATTAGCCATTTAGAGTGAGTGATGAGCTCTACAGCAGTCTCACAACATCACTGGTTGAAAACTGTTTTCTGACCCTCCCAAAAGATTACATTTGTAGATAATTGGCCCTCTTTCTGAGACTCACCCACAAACAGGACCAAGCCTGGCCTGCTGAGAAGTGACAGACTCCATCCTAGCTGGAGGGGAGCTCTCATCTTACCTGTCAACATAGACAGGGCTCTAACTCCTCTGCAGGCCAGGTAGCAGGCTGTTAGCCAGCCCGCCAGCTTAGTGGAGTCTGCCACTAGCACAGTCAGCTTAGTGCTCCCCATTGAGACCGTGTCTGTGCCTCGATCTAGGTTGGGAAAATCTAAACATGGCGGTGTTCGCCTTAGCAATCTCACTGGAATAAAGACCTCCTCCATCCCTGTCATTTTTTAACGAGACTGTGATAATACCTCAACTCAAAATAGGACTACTTAATGTTAGATCCCTCACTTCCAAGGCAGTCATAGTCAATGAACTAATCACTGATCATAAACTTGATGTGATTGGCTTGACTGAAACATGGCTTAAGCCCGATGAGTTAAATGAGGCCTCTCCACCTGGTTACACTAGTGACCATATCCCCCAGCACATCCCTCAAAAGGCAGAGGTGTTACTAACATTTGTGAGAGCAAATTTATATTTATAAAAACAACAGCTTTTTCATTTTTTGAGGTTCTAGTCATGAAATCTATGCAGGCCTCCTGGGCAATATACAGCGTTCCTCACTGAGTTCAATGAATTCCTATTGCATCTTATAGTCATGGCAGATAAGGCACATTTTTGGTGACTTCAATATTCACATGGAGAAGTCCACAGACCCACTCAAAGGCTTTCGCAACCATCATCGACTCAGTGGGTTTTATCCAACAAAGCAAGGTATAGGCACACGTGATGACGGTTTTAAAGTAAAGATTCACCCATTTTGAATGTTATATTGTTTTTGTGCATCTCTGAGCGATGTTCTATCAATTCCCTGGGTCATTTCATGTTTATCTGAGCTATTGCTGTTCAAGCAGGCAGAAATTTGGCCGGTATGCCATAGCATTGCGATAAAGCCGCTCTCACTACGCTGAAAGTTAATAGGAATACGACTTTTAGATCTCGAAAACGTATATCATACATGTCAGATTTAAATACTTGCCTATGTCATAACGCAGGAGGTTGTCTTCTCTTGAATGAGCCATTTATCATATTTTTGTGATATTCCTACCTCGAGAAATGTTTAATTTAACAGAGGGTCTAACAGATTTCCACAATGATTTTCCCATGTTGCTACCAACCCTATTATAACGACAATATGAAACATTTGTTCACAAAAAATATTGTTCTCACATATTAGTGTTACGTAAAACTGTAAATTATAGGAATTACATTTACGTCATTTAGCAGACGCTCTTATCCAGAGCGACTTATTATAGGAATGAGTGGTTTTGGGTGGAATTTTCCTTTAAGGCGGTACATATTTACATTGGCGTACATTTAAAATCGATGGTAATGCCTGCCTCCTGAATCCAAGCGTTTGACATGGGAGGAGGGGACCAATAACTTTATCAATGTACCAGCTACAGTCATTTTTCATACTTAGGTCACCCTACTTTCAACTGGTTTTATCCAAATATCATCCAATTTGATGAAAAACATGATTTTCACTGTTCAGGACCTTTAATATACAGCTATTGCAGGGTTCTCCCCAAAGAATGAAAGAGGGGCGCTGCACCACCTTGTGGACTGGCTGCGCCATTATGTAAATACATAAATGAAGTAAATGTAAATACAATTGTTTTTATTTGTCACCATTTAAGACCAGGCACCACACCCTAATACAATATTTTTTGGGCTGTAGATTGCAGGAAATGGCAGTTAAAGGTGTTTAAAAATGCCTAAATCTATGACTTACAGTACTCTCTCATAATTATGACTTACTATTATAGTAAGTCAGATTTGTTTGGGAGGGGTGGCAGGAACGGGCTTCCATACTTCAAGAAACAATAGCTATACTGTATAAAAATGTGATGTACCAACACCAGATTGCCCTTTTAATGGATTTAATTGAATTAATGAATTAAATCTGATGTCAAGCAGATGTCAAACATGCACCAACTCACATCAACAAAACTCTCCAATCCATTAATACGGAACAATAACTCTCGCGCGTACACACTGTGTGATTGACTATAGGATATCCATAAGGTTATCCTTGAAAGTTGAGGCGGGCCTGATGCAAAGTGTTGTGATACAGCATGTGATACAGATCGCCTAAACGTATCTCATAATAACAACTTACTGACTCACAATTACGACTTACTATCTCACAATAACGACTTACTATTTCACAACTATCTCATAACTCCATCTGCGGACCGCAGTTACTACATGCCATTGAGGCTGCTAGCTATCTACTTCCCTTGGCGTAACGTTAACAGAGCTGCCTGAAAGCAGTGTTCGGCAGGCGGGGGCGAAAGACACTGGGAGAATCTCAATTTCATACTCTGTGTCCTCTCTCCTCAACTCCTTCTCAAAACCCATTGGAGGAGAAGGTCAGAGAGGAGGGACCTCTGGCTTTCTCATCCAATGGGTTTTGAGAAAGAAGCGAGGTGAAAGGACAGAGGATGCGAGGAGTAGGCAATTGAGATTCTCTCATAGTGCACCGGTGTCCCCTAGCTAACTAGCAGCCTCTTTCGGTGGGGTTTTCGGCGGGTGGCATCCAACCTTATTGGTGCACTATCTCCACCTACTGTGCTGGAGTGTGGGCCAGCGACACTGCTAGCAGACTCAATGGCAGTGGGCGTGGCATGTTGTGGGCGTGGCATGTAGTAACCACTTATCTGCTTATAGATTACGTTATCTTTTTTTGGTGCCTTGAAATAGCTTCAATAAGTATTTATTGTCAATCACCCGCAATCTATTTTCATAGGCCCATCAACGAAATCCCATTTCCCACGACATGCCCACTTTAACAAGCTACACATGCTTTGACCGGTAGGCCTTGAAGCCATGAGAAAATGCTCAGCCTTTCCTATCTGGACGTCCTAATTTCACTCACCTCCCAACCTGTGCTCTGTTGTTGATCCCACTGGCCGTGGACGACATACTGGCGGGGCCCGGAGTCCCGTTGGAGGTTTTTCGGCCGCCGGAGCTGGGCTGTTGTTGTTTCAACATGGCCAAGCAGCAAGCTTATAAAACTAAATATTATTCCAGTCAAATAATTGGAGATAACCTAAAAACACACTTCGATACAGCTACAACGGGAAATGACTTTTACGTAGCAGGTTTTGAGAATTAACGTAGAAGGAAAAGGTTTAGGGTTAGCGAAAATGCTCTCATAACCTGCTACGGATAGTCACTTCCGGACGTAACTGTATCGAAGTTGTGTGCTTTTAGGGAGTCCCAAATAATTCGCCGACTGGCCAACGTTTAGCTAGCAATCAAAACAATACCGTTAGCCTGTATTAACCTCAATGACTGAGAACAGCTATGCTAGCTAACGCTAATAGCAATTGGCCTCGCAAACGGGAAAGCTATTGCAAGGTGGCTCGCAATTAAAATATACCTTGATTTCGGATTGTATTCTCTGGCTGGCTACTTTGCTGTTTCGTATCGATTTATTCGCTAAGTAGCAACAATGTTTAAACACGAGATCGTGGTTTAGGCTTCTACTGATCCTAGCTAGCTGGCAGTCTCTTCGGACATTCGCATGGTAGCTTCCCTGTCTGGATTACTTGCTTCTTTAGGTAGACTTGAAGTATTCTTCTTGAAGGTTAAACCTTAGAATACCAGTTATGATGCTAGTATACTTGTTTTGGGATGAAAACCCGCGGTCGGTCACCACCTCTCGAGGTAAGTTTCACTCGATCAACCGCGCGCTGCTCAGTGGTCATCACAGGCACCGCTGTGAAGCAGCCAAGAATAACTAAGTAGTTCCGGGTCAGGGTTTTTTGGAATCCTTCAGAATAAGAGTCCCGTCCTGTATACTTTGTAAATGAATAATTAAGGTGAAAATGATGCACAATTATCGATATATTTTCTACTAGTTATCATACAATGAGTAAAAGTATTTCTATGAGATAAGTGATTAAAAAAAAAAAAGGGGCAGTGGCGATTTTAGCTTGTAAATCTTGGTGGGGCAAAAAAACAAAAACGTGGGATGCATGCCAGCAAAGCCACTACACTACACAACACAACACAACACAACACAATACATGAATTGCACTATAACAGTGACAAACGGTGTCCACAAACTGTTAGTGCCTACGTAAAGCTGTCCCAACAGCAGTCCCAACATCTTACCACTGCTACACCTGGCTATCAGCAGAGCCTTGTCTGGCCGTGAAACAGTTAATTCAGCCTCATTTACTGCCTTTAAAAAAACATTGCTGATATGGCTGACTTGCTTAAATAAATGTGGTTTCTAATGACAATGGAGATGTACGAACTATGGCATAAGGGGACGACAAGCGGATTAAAGCCAATCCGTAATTTCGATTAAGACATTAATGAGCGAGCTAGGACGGACGTAGTCAATATAACTATTTGTTTAGCACTTTTAAAATGTACAGCGACAGAATTCAGAACATGTGCCGTTCTTACAGTGTTCTCCCTGTACACCAAGTCAGAACCGTTGGATAAATAAAGGGGGCATATAAGCAGACAATGAAAGCTCTTACAATATTCGATGATTACATTTCTCTAAAACAGGTTATAGGCTACATGTGCACCACCAAGTCAGAACAGTAGGCTAAGTTCTGAGGGGGAAAGGAACCAAATTATTAGGCGAAGGCACATGGGCTACTAATAGCTTAGTACACAACATACACATCTGCCACGCTGATCCTCAACACGGGAGCCCCTCAGGGGTGCGTGCTCAGTCCCCTCCACAACTCCAACACCATCATTACGTTTGCCGACGACACAACAGGCCTGATTACCGACAACGATGAGACAGCCTATAGGGAGGAGGTCAGAGACCTGGCCGTGTGGTGCCAGGATAACAACCTCTCCCTCAACGTGATCAAGACAAAGGAGATGATTGTGGACTACAGGGAAAAAAATAGGACTGAGCATGCCCCCATTGTCATCAAAGGGGCTGTAGTGGAACAGGTTGAGAGCTTCAAGTTCCTTGGTGTCCACATCACCAGCAAACTATCATGGTCCAAACACACCAAGACAGTCATGAAGAGGGCATGACAAAGCCTATTCCCCCTCAGGAGACTGAAAATATTTGGCATGGGTCCTCAGATCCTCAGATCCTCAAAAAGTTCTACAGCTGCACCATCGAGAGCATCCTGACTAGCATCACCGCCTGGTATGGTAACTGCTCGGCCTCCGACCACAAGGCACTACAGAGAGTAGTGCGTACGGCCCAGTACATCACTGGGGCCAAACTTCCTGCCATCCAGGACCTCTATACCAAGCAGTGTCAGAGGAAGGCCCTAAAAATTGTCACCGACTCCAGCCACCCTAGTCATAGACTGTTCTCTCTGCTACCGCATGGCAAACTTTACCGGAGTGCCAAGTCTAGGTCCAAAAGGCTTCTTAACAGCTTCTACCCCCAAGCCATAAGACTCCTGAACAGCTAATCATGGCTACCATGACTATTTGCTTTTTTTATGAGTTCCCAGTTGTCTTGAACTCACTGAAGTCTAAGATTTCCCAGTTCAGATTTTCCAGTTGTTTTGAATGCAGCAGAAGTCATGCTGGATTGACAGCATGACCAATTTATTCAACCTTTTCTGGCCCATGGTGTTGCGTGTGAATGTTGATCTTTTTAAGCTTGGAAAAGAGACCCTTTTTAAGCTCCAGACATGGACCACACACCCTCTCCACCGAATTGCAGGCAGGGGAAGCAAAATAGTGATTGCTTTGCAATGCTTGCTGTTAGCCACTGATTCCTTCCAAACCACTCAATGTTGAATTTGCAATTTCCGACTTGTTGTGTAATGTTTATGTCCAATGGCCGACGAGCACCGATACATTTTATCTATAATTTATCTTCATATGACAACGATTGAAAAGGATTTTCCAGTAGATTGTCGACGTGATTCATGATGATGACTGCTTGCTAGCTAAGATTTTCAAAGTATGATGTTGACATGATCAGGCCAATCAAAGCTACGGTAGATATAACGTGATTTGTAGTAATTTTATCTGTGGCCAATGACCTTGAGCCTTCTTGGATGGGCACTTCTAATGTAAATATATGGCAGCACCCAAGGGGGCTTGAACTGCCTATCTCTCCCTGTGCATTATGCGGTGACGTAGTGAAGAAGAAGATTACCAACACCTACGCTCAGTATTTTGGCTGTCTCTCCACCACAGAAAGCACTGAGCTAGGCTGAAACATCTGTATTTTGGAGCTGCCTTACTCAAGAAAGCAAGAACGAGACCATGTTTGTATGCGGCTTTATTCACTCAATAAATGTGTTTTTACAATGTTTGCAAACTGATATGACACGAATTAATGCCAAAATAACATGCAAAACAGGCAAAATAATTATTGTCATAAAAAAAATTAAAAAAGATTTAAAGGAGCCCCATCTGCCCTGAATGACGGGTTGCTGCTGAGTATGTCCAATATGAAAAACGTACTGAACATTGTGGAATTTGAATGGGCTAATTTACAATGGGATTTAAAAGTGTTTTTTAAAGTTGATTATTATAATTATAACAATAATATGAATATTGTTATTTGTATTACTGTTGTTACCATAATAACTATCTGGTAATCATTACTTTTAATGCTGTTAACAATCATGTCAATGCTATACAATTATTTATGCTATAACGGCGATTAACTTTTGTTCCTTTCTTCATACTGTAAAAAAAAATCGAAGTCTGCTAACATTTCCTCATAACATTTTAAGAATTTCGACAATTTTAATATTTTTTACCATCTTCATTGCGGGACTTTTATTTTGAAGGGATATCGCCGAGGTCACGGCTTTATTGCTGCTAGGGCGTCTTTTTTCCCCCCAAACGAGGGTTAGCCAAAGCCACGCCCCTTTTAAACTAGGGGCGTATTCCAGCCTACATAGTCCAGGTATTTAGTCAACAGCATAAGAGCGGAGAGCCTGGAGAAAATAAGGCTCGTACAGGAATGCGGTCAAAATCAGTGCTTGACTTGGGCCGGGGCTGTCTGGAACGCCGTACAGGCACTTGTAATTTTTGGGAAATTGTGTACCAGCACCTTTATGAAAGCGAAGTAGCCTATCGCTGGCCCAGATTCATACATCGAGGCAAAAAAGGTTGATCAAAGAGGAATGAAGGCGGGATCTTCATTGAATAGCAATGGGGTAGTGGACAATCATTTCCTAATTCCGCTTTGTTCAACTTTATTTGCTGCTAGTCTGTGAATCTGTGCGTGACAGTCAGTGTTGCCAATTTAGCGACACTTTTTCCAAAAAGCGACTAGCGACAAATCTAGCAACTTTTTCTGGTGTTATTCGAGACTTTTGGAGACTCTGACGTGAAAGCACGTATCGTTCCTACTCTTCTCAACGAGCAGCGGGTGCTGCCGTGGATGCTGCCGTGGGCCCCTGCCGTGGACCCCACCCCCGTCCCAAAGCACTCACAGGTGGCCCAGTCCTCGCGCAGCAGTCCCTCCCAGCTGCAGTCAGAGCAGGAGATGTTCACCCCTCCGCGTCCAGACTGCAAATGAATCGCGCATGCGGGAAGCCGCCGCTGGCTGATCCCGCCCTGGCTTACATTCAGGGCGGGATGTAAATGTAGGGTGTTTATTACTCACTTTTTCTTTTCCCACAACGTTATTCCTCTCTCCTACAGCGTCCATCACAATTACATGCACATGGCCAATTATGCAAATTAGGTGATGGCGTCATTTAGCGACTTTTAGGACAGCCAATAGCTACTTTCCTTACTGAGGAGTTGGCAACACTGGTGACAGTAGGCTGTCAAAAAAATTTTTTAAGCGCCAGCCTGAATGGCATGATGCGCTGTTCCAAATGGTCAAATTAGGGTTTGTAAGGTCATGAAAAGTAATGGAAATGTTTTTCATAATTGTTGTTCATGTAATTTATGAAAGCACACTTTTAAATATGATCAATCAATAAAAAAATGACATATCAGCCATTATCGGAATAACAATTCAGTGCATGTCTGTGGCGCTGCGTGTGTGCCAGTGCGAGTGGGCGGTTGCCTGAGGA